TTATTAAAGTATAATTTTATACAGTACAATTCACCCTTGTTAATGAAATTCTGTAAATTTTGACAAATATATAAGGTTGTATAACTATCACTACAGTCAAGATACAGAACTGTTCCATCAGCCCAAAGATTCCTTTGTGTGCCTTTGTGGTCAACCCTCGCCACCACCACCAGGTCCTGCAAACCAATAACCTGTCTTCTGTACTACAGTTTTAGATTTTTGAATATATAAAATCAAAGTCCTTGAGTATTTTGTTCTTGTCAATTCCGAAGAAGTCCTATAAGAATTTGATGAAATTATTATTATTTTTTTATTTTTTATTTTTTTTAAGACTTTATTTGCGAGAGAGACAATGAGAGACAGAGAGCATGAGAGGGAGGAGGGTCAGAGGGAGAAGCAGACCCCCTGCTGAGCAGGGAGCCCGACATGGGACTCGATCCCGGGACTCCAGGATCATGACCTGAGCCGAAGACAGTCGCTTAACCAACTGAGCCACCCAGGCGCCCCGAAATTATTATTTTTTTAATCATTGGAGAAATGTTAATGTCAACCATTGATAATATTGTCAGAGAAGAGATCCCTCTTAAGCGGTTGAGATTTAAACTTACAAGATAGTTCATACAGAGCTGATTTTAAATTTCAGATTTCCTAGTGAATACTCAGCGTGCAAGGAAGTCAGGTGTGCATGCTAAAATTATTTTCCCTGATGTGGGCATTGCCCCTGTGGCATAGCGAATACATAAATATTTATCAATGAATGTTTAGTGGATATTTAGCTATTGTGATGTTGAGCCTGAAAAGTGCCTGTGAAAGTGGGAATCAGGTTTTGTGAAGTAGGTGTCATGTCACGTTATCATTTTCTATGTGTGCCAGAGGATGAGGGACAGCCAAGAGACCCAGTCAAGCTACAATAGTCCCTTGGGCCTCAGAGTATTTCTGATTCCTCCCACTTAACACCCAGTATCACCTGCTCCCAGTTTCTCCCTCCCATGAATTTTCTCGTTTCCAGATGGTTGGTTCTTACACTTATCTTCTGCTACAGATTGTTTTGGTGGGGGAAGGAGACAAGGTCTCACGCACCTTGCCAAGTCTGGGCCCCTGCACCCCCCTCCCACCCCCTCCTCAGCAGTGAGTGCCCTCTGAGCCAAATTGCTCTTCACTGCCAGACTCCTTTGACTTCACATTGTGCATTTGTAGAAAAAAACAGGAAGAAGATAATTGGGTTTTGTAGGATTTACAGGAAATTTCTAGGCTCTCTGCTGAAGGTGGAACAGGCAGAGCTGAGAGACCACCATCCAGTCAGGGTTGTGGTTGTGGCCAGGACGCCCTTGGTGCCTTCCTTGCTTAGCCCCAGAACACGTGAACACTGGCACCCCAACTACATCATTTCTCACTCAAGCCAGGGAGGGGTTGCTCATTCATTATCCGTTCATTTTCCAGAATTGGAATCCAGTAGCGCTGGAGGAGAAGATAGAGACTCAGGGGTCTAACAACACTTGGGTTCAGGCCCCAGCCTTTCTTTACCAGCTTGTGATCTGGGCCAGTTAATGTGCATTTTTTTGTACCTTCCTTTCTTTATCTATAAAATGAGTATAAGAGTATCTCTGAGGGTTGTTGTGGAGATAATCATTCAACAGTTCATCCATCCCACAAATACTTATTGAGACCTGCTCTTTCCCACACACTGTTCTTGGTGCTGATGATGCAACAGTCTTTTGTCAAGAAGCTCATCTCCCCTAGTGAGAAAGACAGCAAACAAATAAACATGCATCATGACAGATGTAGTAAGTGCTATGAAGAAAATTCAAGCAGTTCACTGAAGGGAGAGAGAAAAACGATTGGCAGTTGCTATTTTGATAGAGAGTGGTTAGGGAGGGCTCTCTGATAGGATCATAGTTGAGCAGAGACCTACATAAAGTGAGGCAGCCATGCAGCCATTGGGGTGGAGGGCCCAGGCAGAAGTAGCATCTGCAGAGGCCTGAGTGGACTCCATGCATGGGCTTTTGAGGAGGCCCCAGTCACTGGTGAGGCAGGAGCATGGGGGGAGGGGAAGAGGAGGTGTGAGAGCTGTGGGGAGGAGGGGTGGGCAGATCAGGGAGGACCCATCACCAGGGCTTTGGGTTTTGCTCTAAATGATGTATAGAGCCATAGAAGGGATGGAAAAGAGGAATAACCAATCTGGCTGCTAAGCTAAAAATAGAGTGTTGGTGGGCAAGGTTGAAAACAAGTAGAATAATTAGGGAGTCATCATAGTAATCTGGGTGAGAGATGGTGGTGGCTTGAACTAGAATGACAGCAGCAGAGGGGAGGAAAGAAGTTAGGTTTTGAAAGTCCCTAGTGGAATTGCCAATAGCTTAGATGTGGGGTGTAAAAGAAACCAAGGAATCAAAGGGGAATCTCGATTTTTTTGGCTAGGGCAACTTGAAGCAGGAGTTGCCATTTGCTGAACTAGAGAAAGTTCCCGTGCAAGTTGACTTTGGAGGGAAATCAAGAGTTCAGTTTTTGGACATATTGTACTTAAGATGTCTACTGGATATCCAAATGGAAGAGTCAAGTGGCCAGTGGAGTCCAAGAGTCGGAATTGAAGTGAAGGTCAGCGTGGAAGTGAAAGCCAGATGGGAACATCAAGGCATTGAATGTCAGTGGAGGAGGAGAGGAGCCCATCTTGGGCACCCTGAGCTCTAGAGGTACACATGGTGGGGGGAGGAGGAGACCAAGAAGGCTGCTGAACCAGGTGAAGGGAGGGATCGCCTATAGCAGATGCTGCTCGTGGGTGACGAAGAAGGACCGAGGAGTGAGCACATGCTGCAAGTCAGTGGGTGAGGCGTGCCCAGAACAGCCTGTGGGCAGAAAGTGTCCAGTTCAGATTAGGTGTCTCCCCATCCCTTCTCCTTTTCTGGTTCTGATGGCAGAAAATATCACCCAAGTAAGTGCCTCAGCCAACATCAAGGATCCTAGTGCCTTACTTTGCGAAATACTGTTCTGTATCACTCCTGATGTAAATTTACTCAAGACAAACTTGACCTTCTGGTTGAGGCTGGACCCACGTTCCTTAAAATCACATGTCTTCTGAATTAAGACTCTGTATGACTCATCACTTTACAATATAAAAGTAGTAACTCAGAGACATACAATAGGATATTGTCTATGAAAAAGGAAGGAGAGGAGGAGCATTCGAAAGGGCTTGCCACATTCTTGGCATGATGCCTTCACTACTTGCAGTTCTTTTTCATTACATTCATACGTACTATACATGAAATGTCAAAAATTCAGTATTTGCTACCATGCACATAGTTACTTGGTTTTTTGGCTAGTTTCTCACTGGTGGTGTAATGAATAAATGGAGCCCAGCAAGCCTCCCATGTCTGTGTATGAGTTTCACTTTTCAGATGCTGACCCAACATATTCTTAAACAAGCCCCTGATAATTTTTATTGTATGTATGTATGTATGTATTTTTTTTATCTATCTATTTATTTTGCAGTGCTGACCAAGTTCTAGTCTTATCAATGAAAGTCATGTTCGGGAAGTTGTGTAGCACTTCACAGTTTATAAAGCATCCTATTATACAAGACGCATTTGAGTCTTAAAATAATTTTGTGAGGTAGGCATATTAGTTATATTAACTTGGTGGTTTTCAATAGCAAATATATCTGCTGCTCTCTCTTCTCCCACTATATCCTGTGCTAGAGTAATCGCCTCCTTTCTTAGCTGCAAGTGGTAGGCTAACTATTCCTATGTTTAAATGAATGTTGAGAAATTAGACCTTTTATAGTTGGAAATAAAACAGCTTTCCATACATCTGAATTTTTTGCTCACTACAGACTGAATTGCTGTAATGCTGGGGATAGGGAGGTAGGCCGACAGGTTCGGGTGTAGAAAGACAGGGGGATATCCAAGCCTAGAATATGACAGATTTCAGTGGTCACAGCAAAAGATACAGTAGTGGTTATAGACTGATTCTTGCCTGTCAGCTTAAACTAAAACTTGAACTAAAATGATTTTTAGAAAATGAAGATTATTTTATTATAATTATTATTCTTATTTTTGGAAATTGCTTTGAGCTAAAATGTGTTTCTAGCATAGTATTTGAAAAACTCTTAACAAATAAGTTGGTATGGTCTTGAGCTGGTAAACATTCTGTCTACATCGTAAGATGATGCACATCAGTAGTTTGTTCCTCCTGTGTCCTGCTTTATGTGGTTATCACAGGATTTTTCTGGCCTGTTCTAAAATATCTTCAGCCTGGCATAAATTTCCTTCATCACATTCAGCTTTGTGTTATATCTGATCATGTGTCGAGGAATGAATGTGTAAATCTTATGTTATCTTGCCTGCCATAGTGTAACTTTTTTAATGGCTGGGTTGATGCCTGAGTCACCTTTGTTACTTCTAAGAGCCTAGTTCAGTGTTTCATACATAGTAGGAACTCAACATTTATCGAATTGACCTGAATTAGTATTGGTTATGTCATTGTTACGTTGGTTGCATTATTCAGTGACAAATGTAAAAGGAAAATGTATAAGAGCAATTAAAGATATGATCTCATTGAATTTCTTTTTATTGATTTCCTTTATTTAATATGTATTGTTTTGCACGGATACTATCTTTGTATTTGGCTATTTACCCATGTCCCTTGACAAAACTTATAGATGATGAGTTGACATTTAATCCAACTTCTTACAAGAAAATTGTCTGGTGTATGTGGGGCAAGTGTGACTATAACAGACTCCTAATACTTTCAGATTACTTGGAAAACACTTTATGTGGTGGCTTTGGATAGATTTATTTCTATCTCTTGAGTTTAGTAAGGAGCCACATGTCCTTGGGAGTTTCATGAAGTAAATGTGTAAACCCCATGACAAAATGTGCTTATACATTTTCAAAAGCCAGGATTAGTCTTAACAGAAACCAGCCTTCGGTTTTTAAATTATAATTGTCTGTACATGTGTTGACATTCGAATAGAAATCATCTGAAGTTTTGTCTTTTGTACATAATAGTACCGGGAAACCCAAACATGAGTGGTTTCTCCAGAAAGATTCCGAAGGGGACACACCTTCTCTTATCAACTGGCCTTCCAGGTATATCCCGAGCTGAACCTCTTGGCTTATGTGTAGTGAGTGCTTCTTCCCTGCTGACTTGCCTTGCTGTTCCACATGTTACCAAATGCTAACTCTCTTCTTGCCCTCTGTTAATGGCAGTGCATTTGAAAATGATGTGTTCACAAGGGGCTGCTGGAAGTTACTTTTTGAACCTTTGCTTTTCGCCTCTGATCGCCCTAATCCCTGCTAATAGTATTCCCCCCTCCTCTTTTTTCCTCTTTTTGGAAATCTTTTTGATGACGCTTCTTGCTTCTCTCCTTTCAAACCAACCTGCATACCGTCAAGTGGGGGCAGTTGTGAGGAGCCTCTTGGTTGCTCTCCTCTTGAGTCACACTAACTAACCAGCTAGTGTCCCATCTGGTCTACACCCCCTCCGCCCAGCGCTTCCACCTCCTCCTTGTCACGTCTCCTTGTCCCTAAACCAATAGTTAATTTTCACCAGTTGCACTTAGGGCATGTGGTTTTAAAGGCAGACAAAAAAAAAAACCCTATCATTTCATTTTTAAGGTTGGGGGCAGGGAGAGGCGGAAGGAGTGAGAATGACTAAGTCTCTGGCAGGACAAAGCACCCATATACTGAGTTTCTAATAGTCACTTTGTTCTCAGCTGAGGACAACATTCAGATTGTCTCTGATTAGAAGGACACATTCCACAGGAGAACTTGAACCACATTTCAGTCTTCTTTTGATTAACAAAGCTTATAAATATGAAAACCTCCAACACTGGCTAGTCTCTGGGAAAAATAACAACTCAGAATGCTTTTTTTTTTCTCCTGAATTGTTCATGGTAACTGCCTTTTATGTGTGTCTTTGATTTTTTGTTAATGAAATATACATAGATATCCTGTATCTGATGTGGAAAAACACGTAGGAGTTTATATCAAATTTAGCAGGGTGCATTTGTCATTTAAGGAATTATTCTCTTCCAAAACTGTCATAAATAATTATTTTTGCTGACTGATCTTCAGTACATGAAGGTTTATATTCCCCCAAGAAATCACTTTTCCCACTCCAAAAATGTGTTTTACTTTTTAAGGATTATTGCCAATTAGTAATCCATTCTTGAACAGCTTCAATGGTTTCTCCTTTCTCACTATGTGGCATTTCAGAAAGCAAAGATAAGTACCAGCTAACACTATTAAATGGTTACTCTTTGCTAAGAGTACTTAGTACTAAGCCATCCAAGTGCTTTGCCAACATCACATTACATTTTGTCACTACGATTTCCATTTAAAAACAAGGCAACTGAGCCAGGTAAGTTGCCTGAGACCACACAGCTAGAACTGGGTGAGCCAGTTTTGAATCCAGGTCTCTGAGGTGCCCCTGGCCAGAGCTCTTGGCTACTTTGCTTCTGCAGTGATAGAAAAAGGGCTGTAGCTTTTAAACTGGATTTCAGTTTTGCTCTCAGATATTTAAATAGCCCTAGAAACGAGAGCAATCTCTCTTTACATGAGTTTTTAACTAAGGGTCCAATAGCGATTCCAAAGGGGAGAAAACGTTTAGTCTGTTAGTTCTTTCAACAAATATCTTTTCTCTAACAGTCTTCTTGGTGCGACAATGGTTAGTAGTAATGATGTCCAAACTGGTCACATGTCTTAGGAATGAATGAATACAGTCTGCGTTGCATGAAAAAGCTTGGGAATGTTTAGTTGAGTGCTTGAAAGGGGTGATTGTTTGCTGTATTTGGAGCTCAATTAAAAAAATTTAAAAATCACAAATGTTCTTACATTTCCAGGGGACAGTGAAATCACATTTGGTCAATAGGTGTGTGTGTACCTGGAAACTCCCCCCAGAGTCCACACGCAAGGCCTGTATGGGTGGAGGGTTTACGGATTCCCACCAACAGCCTTGGTGTGCCCTCATGCATGCTGTTGTTGTATATTAATGGATTTTTCCATGGCTTCTGGTCATTCAGTCAGAAGGCATCCATTCTCACCCAGGATGGCATCCGAGCCATCTCAGCTTTATGGAGGGCGGAGTGAGTTTGGCGCCACACTGACGTCTGTACGCACATTTGGAAACTCGAAATCGTTCATCCGGCAGGCAGTGGGTTTCTGACATTAACCACCAGAAATGCACTGTCACCAGTGGTTCTGCCTTTGGGTGGATTTCCATTCACGGGTAATCTATGGTCCACGCATGCTTTCTCCCCCTGAAGCAGTTACTGCACTTTGCAACTTAAATCCTTTTTCTTTCTTAAAGAGTTAAGGTTAGAGAAAAAATGGTGAAAGAGGAGAGTGCTCGAAGCAGCCCCGAGGTGGCCTCCGAGCCCTTCACTCAAAGGAGACATCAGCCAGTGCCCGTCCATTGCTCATCCTTTCAGTCAGAAAATTCGGCCTTCGATAGGGTCTCGAGCAAGGCAGCCAGCTCCACGGGACAGCCAATCCGAGGCTATGTCCAACCGGCAGACCCCATTCACACGGCCACGCTGGTGACCTCAGAGATCCCAGAAAATTTATCTGAATGCAGCTGGGGGGGGTCAGCCACCCAGCATGTCAGAAAGCCTCCCACCTTGAAGGTTCTAGAGAGTGAGAGAAGGGATACCCCAGTTCTCCATATTTGTGAATCGAAAGCAGAGGAAGATACGCTCTTCACTGAAGCTCTTGAGAAAAGCAGGAAATCACTTTTGGCTTTGGAGGATCATGGGCCTACGAGAAGCCACGAAGATCCCTCTGGAAACAAAGACTTCGGCAAGCCTGCTGTGAGCACAGTCACCTCAGAACATCAGAAGGAACCAGAGAGTCTGTCGCCCCCGCCTGCAGCTCAGCAACAACCCACGGAAAGGATCAGCAGACAAGAAGTGGTTTTATATGTTCAGAGCCAGCCCGTGTCCCAAGATGCCAGGGTGACAGGCCACAGAAAGGAAGGCCTGACGAAGAAACGCAAGGTCCTCACCCGCTCCCTGTCTGACTACACGGGCCCCCCTCAGCTGCAGGCCCTGAAGTGTAAGGACCCCACGTCCAGGCAAGAACCAGAGCCGCAGAGTTCCAAAGCTGAAGGGCCCCCCCCGGACGTCGGCATGCTGGACATGAAGGTGTCTGTCGCCCAGCTCCGAAATGCATTTCTGGAGTCTGTCAATGCCAACAAGAAACCCGAACTGTAGGTGATGTTCCAAACATCCTCCTGATGTGTCACTTGCACGTCCTTGGCAGAATTATTCACTTCTCAACTTGTGGTGTGTCCTGCATTGAGTCATGTTAGCTTAGCTCACCAGTGTGCAGGGCAGACCGTACAGGAAATGGCTCAAAAACTACCATTCTGCTTCTGCCTACTAATGGGGAGCTACAGTACTGGGTCGCTGGAATCTCCGCCTCCTTTAAGTGCATGGTCGGGGCATGCAGCGGGACTTGGCGGTGTCTGGGCCTTGCCTCACTGAGATGCATAAACCTTTGCTTTATTCTCTCTCTCTGTCTCTCCTTTCCCTTCTGTACACTCCCTCCTGATGACTCTAAAAGCCAATCCCGGGTGGAGAGGTCAACCGAAGGCGTTGGCTTGCCTACCGGTGTGGAACGGGAAAGAGGGTCCCGGAAACCAAGACGCTATTTTTCTCCTGGGGAAAGTAGGAAAACTTCCGAGAGATTTAGAACTCAACCTATAACCTCAGCAGAACGAAAGGAATCGGATAGGTAGGCATGCGTAATGTGTAGTTCTGTAGTCTAGGAACTTAAAAGCAGTCGTATGGGATTTTCCCACAGTGATGGTCCTGGCGCTGTTTAAATGGGATGTGGCGATTTCATCATTCTTCCATCTAATCTATAAGAGATACTTATGTGGCTTGTATACATGTATTTTTAAAGAACACGGCCCGTGACAACAGTATCCCAATACAGTTTTACATTGCATTCAGATGGTAAGAAGTGAGACACATTATTTTTCTTCATTTACCCCTTTTCATTTCTTATGCCCTCGTTAAATTAGAATCCACAGTGAGTATTCACCAGATTTTCCAGTGCAAAGAACTAGGGATTTTATATTCGTTTTATAAATGTCTATTTGTCATATCTGAGTTTTATACGATCCTATGCTTATGCATAGAGATGATGAGGTTTGTCTACAAAGTGACCAGTCGTGTTTAATAAGTCACACTGGGTTCTGGTTTGTCTCCACGAGATGTGCACCTGGCTGGGTTGTGTGCCCACACACTCCACCGTGTCCATTAACACCTGTAACGAGAATTGCTAGCAGGATGATATTCTTTAAAAGATTTCAATTGAATTTTTACTTTTGTTTTTACTTTAACTTTTAATCTGATGTTTTATTTAGATCTTCTATTCCCACCGGCTAATTTTTTGTTATTATTATTTGCCTAATGTCTTTCCTAGGTCTGCTTCGCATTCAGAAATGCCAACTGCTGAGGGCAAGTATCTGTTTTCCTTTTGCCGCTTCTCTATCATCTCACCCAGATTAGGTTTCCGTAGGTTTTGCTCTTTGAGAGGATGAGATTATGGAGCATACCGATTTCTTTTCCACAGGTTTTTTTTTCTGTGAGTCTAATAAAACCTAGTTGAGATTCTCAGGTGAGCTTTTCCCTATTTTTGAGAGACTTAGAACTGTGGAATGAATAATATTAAAACAACTGATTGGCTAAAGCAGCAGCTTTTTGTTAATTTCTTGTTACTGTGTAACAATAAAGAAGAGAAATTCCTTGCATAAAATCTATTCTTAAACTTCAATTGTTCAAATAACGTCATAGAAAATTCCTGTCCAGACAGAGTTTTGTCTGGTTAATTGCAATGGAAATTAGCACCTTTTCACTGAGCAGAAGAATGGGATCCCTCCAAGGGGAAAATATTGCCAATTGTAATTTTTGGTACATCCGTTCTTATATTCAAAGGATTTCCAGGGCAGCCTTGGGAAACTTTTCAGAGACTTCACCTACATTTTTCTAATGATGTTCAGTTTTTATTTTGTGGCCTTTTACAGATGAAGAAAAGGTAGACGAACGAGCCAAGCTGAGTGTCGCTGCCAAGAGGCTGCTTTTCAGGGTAAGGTGTGCCGAAGTGCTTGAAGCGAAACCGTCCCCCTGTTCCCTGCACGGGGCCCCTCCGGCCCCCCTTGCCCCAGCCCACGTGCTTCTCTCTGAGCCCCTGGCTGGTGTGACCCCTGCTGACACCACACAGGTGCACACTTCTGAGAATGATGTGAGCCTCACGGGGGGGTCCCTCCCGGGGGCCCTGTTAGGGGAACAGAGCAGAGACACTGCGGCCCCAGTGTCCTTTCCTCATATGTATAAGGATTCCGCATTGTTTCTGATCCTAGGAAATGGAAAAATCATTTGATGAGAAAAACGCTCCAAAGCGACGCTCCAGAAATGCAGCCGTGGAACAAAGACTACGGCGGCTACAGGACAGATCCCACACCCAGCCCGTTACCACTGAGGAAGTGGCCATTGCAGCCACGTAAGTCCCCCCTCGTGACCTCGTGGCCTCAGCTGAAATGTCTTCTTGGGGAAAAAAAAAAAAGATTTAAAGCCTTTTAAGTAACAATGAAGCGATCAGGAGATGGTTTGGTTAGACGCCACAGAGACCTTGGTTCTTTGGGATTTTCCTTACTGTGGTCTCTCTGAACTTTGTAATGGGGTGTTTTGCCTATTGTATCTCCTAGAAAAACCTCAAGAGGAATTTTAATTTTTTTGGTCTGTGCCTTTCTTAATCTTTTTTACAATGGAAAATGTAAACCATGAGATTAATATAATGAGCCCCCGTGTACTGACCACCCAGTTTCAACGGTCAGCAGCCTGGCCAGTCTTGCTCTTCCCACACCCCATCCACTTTCCCTGTCCTCTTGCTTTGTTTTCAGGTGAACCCCAGATAGCATTTCATCCATAAATACTTCAGCAGATACCTCAAAAAAGATAAGGGGTTTGAGGTTTTTTGTTTTGTTTTTGTTTTTGTTTTTAAATAATCACCAAAAAACTTAAAAATTTCCTTGGAAGTTTGATGACATTCCATACTTGAGCAGTCTGTTCCAGTATGTTCAGAATGAATTTCCCTAAGTAATTCATTCAGAGATAATTGCTTCAATCAAGTGAAGACTTTTTTTAACTGTTGTTTCCATGCCTCCGCTGGACACACCCACGGTCTTCCCAGAGAAAGCACGTTCGTCTCATTCAGGCCATGGACACCCCAAGAGGTGTCTGTGCCGCAGCCCACACCTGTGGCCCTGCTGTCCGAGCAACTCCCTCATGTCCTTACCCAGCTGCTCGTCAGCTTCGTGGTGTATTTTTGTTTTTTAAAGATTTTATTTATTTATTTGACAAAGACACAGCGAGAGAGGGAACACAAGCAGGGGGAGTGGGAGAGGGAGAAGCAGGCTTCCCGCCGAGCAGGGAGCCCGATGCGGGGCTCGATCCCGGGACCCTGGGATCATGACCTGAGCCGAAGGCAGACGCTTAACGACTGAGCCACCCAGGCGCTCCGAGCTTCGTGGTGTATTTGTGGAGTAGCACTTCTTATGCTCATTAGGAACTCTGAGCAGGTCGGCTCTTTCGGTTTTTTAATGTTTGAGGGGCTGTTGTATACCAAGAAGCAACTACTCGTGGGAGCAAAACAGTAAATATAAACAAAAATTATCACCTTTGTAGGGCTCCCTGAAGCTACTTTGATGTGCATGTAGGTTATATGAGGATACTGATTTTTTTACAAAACAGATTGAGAACAACATTCTAAAACATGAGCGTAATCTACTGATTTTCTGGTGGTTGATATTAGCTTTTTCTTAAGTTATTTTTCAAAATCAGGACATTTATTCTGAAGTCAGGGTAAATCCTTTCCAAGCTTTAAAAACCTAATCTTACTCCATTCACTTTGCGTCACCTGTGTCTCTTATTTCCTAAGTTTGTAATTGCTTTTCAGGTTCTTTTGTAATTTCCCCCAGAATACTTAGTAAATAATTTTGTTAAAATATTTATTTACTGTTTCTGAATTAAAACTATGTTTTCCTTTAACGCTTCTTTTCTTCTCTCTCCTCATGAATGTTCCTTCTTTGGCAATTGTCTTTAAAGTGAACCTATCCCTGCTTCGCGCTCTGTGGCCTCCCAGCCTGTAATGGCAAGACTTCCTAGTCCCAGTGTAGCTAAGAGCACTGTACAGCCTGCCAGGTACCGGACAGAAGTAGCTGCATGTGGCCCTCAGGGCAAAGGTCCGAGATAGCAGATGCATCTCATAATCCTGAATGCCTTTCGTGTGTTTGAGAAACGAGTCAGTGCAACGAGTTGCCGTGGGGATGGGTGCCATTTTGCTTTGTCGTAGTAAGAGAGAGAGACACTGCTAACTTCATGTAGGCCTGCATGAGGAAACCTTTCATCTCCCTGCTCACATCATGTACTGGAACTAGGATCGCACTAACTCACTCGTCCATTTGTTTTGTTTCTGTTTTTCATAATCACGGTCATCTCTAAGAAATTTCATCCTCCATCTAAACTACTAGCACTTAATAAAGGTTAATAGGAAAATGAGGATTCGACATGAATGTTGGAATTCCAGTAATACCCCGGTTTTTGTAAGCACTTGTAGTCATAAATACACGCTAGAAACAACCTTATCTGTTTCTAACATATAGAGAGACGAGGCCATGACTTTTTGGGATTGAGACAATAATCGTTTATGGTGTCTGAACTTAGATGTTTTACTACTAAGCTTTGAACTGCGGTGTTTTGAAAGTATGGCCTTACGGCATGTAGGTATCCCCTGTTTCACCGCGAGGGGCCAAAACACAAAGGCCAAAAATAAGATTAAAAGAAGTCAAACGGCAGTGCAGAAATAGATCTGGCCCCACCCAGAAGCAGGGTTCTGTCCAGGAAAGTAGGTGGCCGTTACTCTCCTCTCTCCACACTACACCTCGGAAACATGTGAGACTCAGGTTCCCTTTGTTACTATCTTCATGATGCCCTGGAACGCTGACACTGCTCTTTAGTCTGGGGCAACTTGTGAATTGGTGATTACTTGGAGTTAAAACAGAATGTACTGTCCGCTGGGTTTGAGAACTGGATTTACCAGTGGCCTCAATCCACGTTGTCATAAATCTTCCAAGATCAACCGTGACCAGGTAACAGGAGGCCTTCTCCTCCACCCGGAATCTGGAGGGATTTAACAGCACCTGAAATGTCCTTCACTTTTCAAGGTGCTGGGAGTTACAGGTCTAAGTACTTTTTAGAAAACTGGTAGAAAGCTATGAGAGAAAATGCTGCACTGAAGGAGGGAAGGAATCTTTAAAATCGATCCATTTGTGTTTAGCAAGTGAAAATCCAAACTCCTTATTACAGATATGTTGTTGACAGAATGACTATATTATTTCCTAGTTCTATAAAATGAAAAGAATACCTCTGAACTACATGTTTATTTTTTTTAAAGATTGATTTATTTGCGAGGGAGAGAGAGCGGGAGTGGGTGATGGAGGCAGAGAGAGAGGGAGAAAGAGAATCTCAAGCAGACCCTGTGCTGAATGCAGATCCTGACAGGGGGGCGGGGGGGAGGGGAGTCGATCTCATGACCCTGAGATCATGACCTGAGCCGAAACCAAGAGTCGGATGCTCCACCGACTGAGCCACCTAGGCGCCCCTGAACCACATATTTAGATAATATCTAGACATGCCATAGATAATGTCTTGGGATTCCCTAGGCCTGATTTGTGGTTGATACCACTGATACACTGTCTCTCTAAGATAAAGTATATCCAAGCTGACTTCAGTTCCTTCAAGAAGAAATTCACTTTTTGGAAATAATTCAGAGATAAAGTTCTGCTCTTCGTGAAATTGGTAATGCCTGTGTCCCCACCCTCCCCTGCTACTCATAGGCTTGTTAATAGCTAAACAGTGCCTACACCTGTCTTAAATTTCTGTAGGGAGAAACCAGTCCTTTTCAGAATTAAGTGATGCTTGGAAGAGAGTTAATATTCAAAATTTAGCAGCGGGCTTTTGTTTGTGTTTATCTGTGTCACTGATTTTTTTTTTTTTTATCCCTTTCAGATTACAGGCATCTGCTCACCACAAAGCTTTAGCCAGAGACCAGGCAAATGAGGGTAAAGATTCTGCTGAACAAGGTGAACCTGACTCCTCCACTCTGAGCTTAGCAGAGAAGTTGGCCTTGTTTAACAAATTGTCCCAGCCAGTCTCAAAAGCTATTTCTACCCGAAACAGAATAGACATGAGACAGAGGAGAATGAATGCTCGCTATCAAACTCAGCCGGTCACGCTTGGAGAGGTGGAACAGGTGGGTAGGCTGTGATCTAATCCAGGTTGCGGGTATGTGCTTAAAATACAGGACCACAGTGTTGGCTCCTAGATAGAATTAAGGTGATAAACTGTGTTACCTGTTGGGAATTTGGTAATAACTTCTTTCCTAAGAAATATAGCCATACCAAGTACTTTTTTCTTGTTTTCATAATTTGCTTGCTGAAATCATCTGGAATGGGTCCTTTATGGAGAGAAAAATAGGCTGCACAATCTGCTTTTCACCCAGATGATTTTGATTAGTGAGATGCATTATATAAAATACGTCTTCCCTCTAAGATAAGCAGTGAAACCGCATCAAATGTAATAGTTCATTCTATGTCATTCTCTAAACTGAGATTCATGTAGATAGTATTTTTGAGTCAGCTTTTTGTACTTTAACTATGTCCTCCCAGGTGCAAAGTGGAAAGCTCATACCTTTTTCACCTACTGTTAACACATCTGTGTCCACCATGACACCTACAGTCATGCCAATGTATGCAGGGGATCTCCGGACAAAGCGGTCTGTGGACGACAACATGAGTGCCACTGACTATAAGTTTCCTTCTTCGATCGAAAATTCAGATTCTCCGGTTAGAAGCATCCTGAAGTCCCAAGCCTGGCAGCCTTCAGCAGAGAGTAGTGGGAGCAGAGGAATGTTGAGAGAGTTTGCAGAGACAGAAAGCAAGAGAATCCTGACAGGTGGAGATGGTGGTAAAAAGTACGGGTCCTTTGAGGAAGCAGAGCCATCCTGCCCTACCTTTAACAGAGTCCGGGAAGGAGACAGCCTTAAGGAACCCAAATACGCTGTTCCAAGAAAGGGCAGCCTGGAACTAGCCCATCCTCCCATCGCCCACCTTGGTGATGAACTGAAGGAATTCTCCATGGGTAAAAGCATCACACAGGGGAGCCCGGACTTGAAGGACAGGCAGCCCTTTGAAGAGAAGGTCGACATGGAGAATGTCCCAAGAAGGAAGTTTTCGCTAAGAGGTAGGTTACTGCTCTGAAAGTTTTAGAAACCACCTGGGTTTTTGGTGTCTGCTTGATTGGTTGTGTGTGTCTGTGATTATTTTTAATTAAAGTAGGAGGACAGTTTATAACTCATATCGATTACAAATCACAGGTGAATCCTACTCTTCCCCTTGAATCTGACCTGAACTGTTCAGTGGATTAATCAGTTTTTCGATAATAAAAATAACTGGAGCTCTCTCACACATCCTGACAAGGATTCTTGATGACTTTGGGCACATTAACTCACATAAGGGTCTTGTGAGCTGCTAGCCCTGTCGGCCCCTCTTATGAGTTGGTGACCCCAAAGGACTGAGTAAGCACAGGGAATGAGGACTTGAACCCAGGACTGCAGAGTTCCAGACTCCTTCCATGGTCCTGGTATGCAGACTAGTAAGCTATACTGCTTGGGGCTTTCATTCACTTTCTGCATTTACAGAAAATGATCGCATGTAACTTACCATGGTGGTTTTAGCATGTGATTCCGGCCATTTGAAATGTAAAAAGGATTGTTTGGGAGGAGGAGAAATGTTCTGTAGTGTGTAGTGAAAGCTCTCTTCCTGTGCCTTGCACGCAGGAAAAGACCAGTTGTCACAAAACCATCTGCTGTGTGCAGTAACCTCCTGGGCAGATTGGTTTCCTCGCAGAGTATAACACGCTACAGATTGGCATGAATCCATGTAGATTGGGTGACACCCCCCCGCACCCCCAGATTGCACTCCGTGTGCGGGACCGCTGGGGGTGAATAGCTGGAGGAATGTCTGCCTGGAGGAGGGAATGCTGACATGGCTCTTCTCCTTCCCAGCGGCAGAGTTCGGGGAGCCCGCTTCTGAGCAGACGGGCACAGCTGCTGGGAAGACTGTGGCCCCGACCGCAGCCCCCGTGTCCTGGAGGCAGCACGATCCTGCAGAACCGGGGCAGGAGAAGTACTGCAGGAATCCATGTGCGATGTTCGCTGCCGGAGACATCAAAGTGCCCGCGGTGGAGGGCATCCTTGATTCAGCTAGCAAAACCATGTCCATTAAAGAAAGGTAACACGATCGAATGATTGGAAAGTAATTCTGTTGGGGATGGAGCTTGCAAGTTGCTCGTAGAGAAAGCTGTGAGTAATGGGCAGAGATGATGTCGTGAGCACACGGGGTGGTGACCACTGGAGGAGTGCCAGTTTCAGCCTCAGACGCGGGTGTGAACAGACGCAGACTTGTGCTTGCTTCATTTGTTTGGGGTTCCGTTTTCTTTTTTACTTATGAAATTCTTGGACTGTCCCATGATGGGAGCAGAGATCTTGGCTCTTTCCCCATCAGACACGTGGCTTCAGACTGAATGCACGCACAGCTTTGTGACAAACTGTTTGACTATGTAAAGTGTATGTAGACGGAATGAAGATAAACCCATATTTGGGACAGACATCTTTGGGATTCGAATCTAAGTTTAGTTTATCCTACAGAAAGTGAAAGGGAGAACTCTTCTGAACATTTTATATCAGATAATAGCTATGAGAGATTACACTGGAGTATCGAGTAACACTGTAACCTCATTTCATTCAAAAAAAAAAAACCCAACCAAAAAACTAATGGAGGATTGAAAGGGTATATTTAAATGCGACAGGTACAAGGAGCCGGAGCTAAATATTTCAGGTTGTATTTTCCTTGTTAACCTTTAGCCACCATGGAATTAAGCAGCAAAAGATGTCATAGCGATAAAAATACTAGATGCGGAAAGATCTCTGTACTTTTCCAGTGTGACCAGCTCAGCTACACCCACCATCCGCTCTGCCCACCTGGACCCTTCCTTAGCACCTCCCATCATTCGGAAGCTTTCTTGCTCTGCCAGGCAGTGGTCACTCTGATTTCTCCAGATACATTTTGCATTACCTAAGACTATGTATCAAACCACGATCAAAATTCTTTATTCTGTTTTTCAAGCCAAGTTTTTTTAAGCATGATGCATAGAAGGTTAGATAGATGGAGCCTTTCTCAACTGACAAATTAGTAAGATTGTTGAATCTTACTTACTTTTGCCTGTTTAAAATTCACAGTAGATGAGACTGCTGGACCGGGGCTTAGATGAAGGGGCTGATGTTACCCCATCAGCTAAATGAGAGTGAGGTCTTGAGTCAGAGAAGCTGTCTGGCCTGTGCTGGCTTGAATTCCTTCTCCACCAAAACCTGGCCCAGAGAGTTTGATCCCAGAGATCCTACTCCTGATAATCGGTTGCATGAGAAGGAAGAGACATCTATTAGCATAATTTATAAGGAGTATAGCCGCTAATAAAGGACGGGAGACACTTCTCTTAGAAAATATATCGCCAGTGATCTTTCCTCCCTTATCTTGATAGTATTTTTATTTGTACTTTGCTGAAAAAACAAAATTCTGTATCTTTACAGCCCATCTGTGATCCTTTTTCCTGAAGTGGGGCTCTGATCCCTCCCTTTTGGTCAGAAAGAAAGAATGAAGCTTGACCTATTTCAAATAAGAATGCTCTTCATATAGTATCTGGGCTTTCCTATTTCTTTCGTGAGGTGACATATAACATAGAACTTTCAAACCTTATTTTAACTTCTTCTGACTGCCCCGTTTTACCAAAGGAGGGGTTTGGTTCCAAGGGCCACTAAGGCCCACAGGGGGCAATGGGACCAACCCCAGGTGCTGGTCTCCAGCTTCCCCTTGGTAGCTGGGGTGAGCTTGCCACATGCTCACGGCCGGTGTGTTAGCAGCTCACCTGTGTCCCAACTAGGACACTGAGCGGAGGACAGAAATGTCAACGAGGCAGCAGTGGTAGAAAGATTCGCCCTTGTCCTGCGTGAATTTTCTCGATTCACATGTTCTTTGCATGGCTTACTTCCAATTCCATGTTCACATCAAACTCTTAGTAAGATGTAGAGCCTGGACTTTGCAGATTTCCTTCATCATTTTTAGAAAGCTGTAGCTCTCACTTCCTCACCCTCGTGTATCCGCATCTCTTTTCTGCTCTGGAGGTGGGCGTGCTGAGTCCTCCATCCTGAGGGGCACCAGGGGTCATCTCCTGCCCTTGGAATTTCTCACGGACTTAGTGCTGAAGGCAGCCCTTACAGGGAGGCAATGCTATCCCCGTTTTGTACTTGATAACTGGGACTTAGAAGTGTGTAACACCTAAGAAATTACAGGAAATCCTCAGTATGCTTCTCTTTTAGGGTAGGCCAGAGGTTCAAGGAAACATCCCTAAAGGTTCCTTTTCTTTCTTCCTCTTTTCTGACATCCAGAATGTCAAGTTTGAACCATAACTAGCACAACACGTAGGCTTCCATTGGCTTTTTCCACTGGATTAGTAAAATCAACTGTTTCATAACTGCCTAAAGGATTTGGGTTTAAATTGCCCCTGTTTGGATACTTCTTTGAAAAATATTATAAGTCAAATGAATTGTGTGTTCTTTAGGGGTAAGACCTTTGAAACCTCTTTTAAAGTATACTAGGCTATCAGAAATCTTATCCACAGTGACCGAAGCAACTGTATCTGTGCTTTCGTATTCAGGAGAAGATCCCTAAAAAAAAGGCAACAAAGCCAATCTCTCACTGGGAAATTGAACTCCCAGAATGGCAAAGAATGTGCCCGTTGGCCTTCGCCAGCCTGTAGCGGTCTGCCCCGCAGAGGCCCGCTCTGGCCCCTGTGTCCCTGGCACCCCCCTCCTCCCACCCTCCCTTGCTCTCCACCAGCCAGAGGCTGTGTCCCTGCTTCTCCCACAGGGACTGGAGGCTCTTGCTCAAGATTTCAGCCACCAGATGGCCCCCAGATTGTCATAAGAATTAGGGATAGAGGAGTCTTTCCCCTTTGCAGCCTCCTTCTCTGATCTTTGGTGTGTCCTCATTTAAAAGACACATGAGCTCACTCCTGTGGCCTGCAAACTAGCCAAGACCAAGATCTGATACGAGTACTGATCAGTGCTGGTCCATCCTGTCTGAAATCTGTGTGGTGCCAGTGATTCTCTGAAACGCAGGGGCATTTTTAAAGGGGGAAGGAAAAAAAAAAAACCCACCAGACTTAAGATTAAGGGGCACGCGGTTTGCCTGTTCCACATTTGACCGGGCCCTGACTGCCGTGAGCCTGCAGAACCTGTTCTGATCAGGCCGGCCTCTTAGACCAGGCTGAACACAGCCGTGTCAGGCCTGCGTTCCCCGCTGAGAAAGTGTGGGCCGTGGAGGGGAGAGGCGGACACTTCCCCTGGTGGCCTTGGAAGCACACAGCGCTGTGGCCCCGGGCCAGGCCTTGGGGTTAATAGGCTAACCCAGTGCCGCTGACGGGGTTCCCCGCCTCAGACTAAGCAGATGCCCAGGCTCTCAACATCACAGCCCTGCACATAGCACTTGGACTTGGTGGATGTTAAAAGCGTTGACAGTTGTTTGAATTGCATCGGCAGTAATTTATGTCGTGTGTAGGAGCAGACGTTTGCTCCTCGGCCCCCACCGGCGCACAGTGGTCTCCTTGACTCAGGAGGGTCGTGGAATCGCAGGAGGAGAGAACATGTTAGGAAAGGTCTCCCGCCCTCCCCGGCTTGTTGAACACCAAGTAGGAAATCTGAAGCACAGGAATAATGCATTTAGGTTTCAGCACATGTTATTTTTAAGTTAGCCGTCATTTGCACTCGGTAAGCTAGGGCAGGGTCCAAGCACCGTGTGGGCTAAGTTGAGACACCGGTTCTTCCATGTTATTCTGCTTGCTCTGTAGTCTTTGGAAGTGCCTGATGATGACCCTGCCAACACATCCAGAAGCAAGATTTCAGGTTTTTGGAATGGAGGAATTCTTTGAAGGCCATCCCAGGGGGAAAATACAACATTATAAGAAAGCCAGAACACTATGCAGTTTCTAAAACATTTGGACACAAATGTGTCTGGTCAGCTAACACACTAATGTAGGGAGACAAGCCACTCTCTGGGAGGCAGGGCACCCCTGCCCGGGGACCGCAACTCCCTGTCCCCCTGACACGCAGTGTGACCTCGGTCAGTGAAATCCTTGGCCTCTGTGTGCACTCGTGCCTCATCTGTCACGTTGGGAATAATCTCCAGTTTCTTTGAGACCAGTAGAGCATGAGGTGGACCATAAAGTAATTGTAGATTACACAATTTGTTTTTTTCTAAGTCAGGTTGGCATTCCTCAGAGCAGCCACCAAGGAAACCAGATGGTTATTTGGGTTATGTTTTCATTGCTCCAGACACCCGGGAGCTTTATTTTGAGAACATCCTCAAAGACTGTAGCACAGGATTTTCCATAAGCCCAACTCATGAGGATGAATTTGACTTTTTAGATTCTCTCAGCTCACTTGGGATCAAATCTGATTAAAAAGGTAGATGGCCGGCCAAGATGAAGAGCTACTGGTCTGTGTCAAAGGTGAAGTAGGAGACAGAAGCTGGCTCTGAGACCAGTTTGCAAGGAGAATATCACGGAGATGAACGTCTCTCCTCACAAGATGGTGCATTGGAAATACTTCTTCATTTGGGTGTAAAAATACTGGCATGCTCACTTTTTAAAAATCTCACTTATAGATACTTTGAAACCTTTGAAAGCTCTATGCAAATACTAATTATTTTTTCACGATTTGATTTTATCTGGTTATTTTTTCTTATTAGAATAAAACTGACTCAGAATTATTAGAGAAAAGAGAAATCATTATATAGTCTGATGAAAACACCTGCAGGCACTGAGAATTTGTTTTCAAGTACGTGAACTAGCCCTGGTAGCATGTAGAGTACTGGCAAACATCACAGACCATAGAATGTAGGGCTAAATGGAACCTTTAGCCAAATGGGGCCTGTCTTAGGATTCTGACTCTAACTGCCAATGTGGGTTTTTTCCCTCCACCACCAAACATGTCTCTGACACCAGCTGGGAGTCCTGCAATTCAACCCAGTTTTGACATTGTCAACTTGGAGATGGCATCAGATCCCACAGGTTAAAGGCTCCATCTCCTAAGAACGCCCCCTAACACACATACACATACACACACACACGCACACACACACACACACAGTAGATGCCAGAAGCAGGTCCAGGTTGTCTCCTGGACTTTTGACCCTATAGGCTATAGATTGGAGATTCCAATGATCCCCTCCTTGGGTTTGATTTACTAGAGCATCCTCCAGAACTCAAATGTTTTGCTTCCTAGATCTCAAGCTTATTATAGAAGGATATAACACAGGAACAGCTGTGTTATGGAAGAGATGCATAGGGTAAGGTATGGGGAAAGGGTGTGGAGCTTCCTGCTCTCTGAGCCCCATCCTTTTGGTATTTATGGAGACCTCATTACATAGGCAAGGTTGATTGGATCCCTGGCCATTGGTGATTGATTCAACTGCCAGCCATTCTTCCCTCTCAAGAAGTCAGGGGACAGGACTGAAAGTCCCGCCCCCCTAATCACATACCGTGGGCTTGGTTCTCCTGGCAACCACTCCCCATCCTTAAGTGCTTCCCCAAAGTCACCTGATTAATATAAAGACACCTCTGTTATTCTTATCACTTAGGAAATTCCAAGGGTGTAGGCCAGGAAAGGTGATGAAAACCAAGTATATATTTCTTATTATAAATCAGAATATCACAGATCGATGAGGTGGCATTGTATAGAATGGTCATGCGAGGTCTTATCTGCTGTCACATAGTAGAAAGGAAGGAAAGGGAAGGGAAGAGAAGAGAAGGGGATAGATCCAGGGTGTGAAGCTCCTGCCCCTTTGGGGGGAGTTCTTCGTTGCTTATTTTCCATTATTTGACTGAATGAATAAACAAGTGAAGGTATGATTATATCTAAATTTGTAGATGGAAGTAGATACTTATTTAAGTACTGCAAGGTTTGGTTTTTTATTTGCTTAGAAAAGCTTTCATTAGCGGAGTCAGGAAAATTAGTAGAAGGGACCTAAGAGACCATTGAGTCCAGTTCCCAGTATGACCAACAAGGAAAGGATGCCAGGCTACCAGACCAGAGTTCAGGGCCAAGCTAGAACTGATACAGTATGCTGTTTACAGACATGCGCTAGGATGTTCAAAAGACCTGGCCTGGCAGGCTCGGCAGGGAGGAAAGGGGGTCTAATCCCAAGAGCCCAATCTTTACATCGTTTGAACAGCAGCTCAAATGACTGCAGTGGTCACTCTTTTTCCTTTTATCTTTCCTACGTTTGTCCGACTTCAGTGCCTGAGACTGCCCCATTCATCATAGGAGAGCAAGCTGGAGCAGCCTCACGCTCACAAAAACAGCCTTTCACTGGTCGTACTGGCTGTAGCATCCAGGCAGCTTGGTATCAAGTCACACCAGAGTTGAGCTAAAGTAGGTTAGGTAAAAATCTCAATTAATTAGATTCTTTTTTTGTATGTGGCTTTCCCCAGGAGGAAAGTTGGAGTAATCATTTTAAAAACGGGTTTGTAGAGAACAGTTTCTGTATTAAGATAGATTGGAGAGACCAAGTGCCTTCGGAGGAAAAGAACAGGGCTGAGGGTACAAAGAGATGAAAATCTTAAATATCTTTTGCCTTTTCTTGAAAGGTCTGATACTAAGCGATTGTCAGTTTTTTTTTATAGCTTTAAGGTTTTAAACCCATTTCTGCTAAATTTTCTGCAAAGGAGTACTGTCCATCCAGCTGTAGTCATTAAATGTTATTTCAGGAAGTGACCAGAAGGGGTCATTAGAAGACATTTTTCTCTGGGGATGGTTTACCTTTACCTCCTTGTTCTCAGCTCAAGGGCAAGGGAAAAAACAGAGCTATTCCTCTGGTGGAATGATGATGCATCTTTATCTCGCAAGTCCGATTTCAGCTTTGCATTGCAATCAGCTTTAAGATTTGGGGGAGGGGGCATCTTAGAAAAGGGGATGCTTATATTAATTTTCCAGACATGGCATTATTCAGAATAAATGAAAATGAAACTCAAAAAGATTAAAATTAGGTAGCTGTGGTCACGTTTTGGCCAAAGACTAATTTACCCAAACTATACTTCTGTTACAAGGAAGGGTTTGGTGCTGAACCCCTTTTGCTTCGCCTGTTTTCCCCCCCAGGTTAGCGCTATTGAAGAAGAGTGGTGAAGAAGATTGGAAGAACAGACTTATCAGAAAGCAGGAGTATGGCAAGGCGTCTGTCACCGGCAGCCTGCACATACAAGAAGCAGAACAGTCCCTCAAGAAGAAGGTAATGTTTTCCGTGTTAGGAAAAAGCATTCCACTAACATCACGCTTGGAAGTGCATCAGGTAGGCAAGCATGCCCTAACTAATGCCCACTCTGTGAAGCACTGTCCTGCCGTGGGTACACACTGCACATCGGTCTCACAGTGGCCGAAACCAATCAAAAGGTAGAGTCTTGAGATGCTATCAAAGTGTTAGCAGCACTGCTTACATAATGCGTCACGCAAGCAAGTTCCTACATTTTGAAGTGTGTGCTTTGGTTTAAAACCTTCCAAAATGAAGTCTGACATTAGTGTTATTAAAACCCTTATAGTGAAAATCTTCAATTGACCACAAGCAGTTTATAAGATGCATATAAAATGTGGACTTGAATGTCTTATGCTGAGATTTAAAACTGAAACATACAAAACAAGGACGTGCGTGTGGTCAGTGAGTACTTATTTTCGTGATTGTGAGCGTGTTTTACAATGAGGAGGCGTGCCTTTTGTTGAGAATGTACAGCAAAATATGTTACAAATTGAAATAAAATCAAGTAATGCATTGTTATTGATACTGGCAAGCATTTCATCTGCAAAAGTCCTGACGAATTGTTAAATTACTAGTGTAATGATGACCAGCTTTGAACCAGTCAGTGCACACTCTCAAAGCTGATGGTGAATTTCCCGTTGCTTGGCCCTAGGCTTGCAAATGCATGTGCTGGCTGGGGACAAGGTCACACGTCCACTGGCCAACTTCTAGGGTCATAAGTCTTTAAACAGAAATGAAGAAAAAAAACCCAACAATTCCATCAGGGTGATCACCTGTACCCCTTTTAGTTCTAAAGCAGCTTAGCATCTGTGGAAGAGAGGAATTGTGAATGTGGCCTTTTGATGCATTCAGGAACTTCCATGAAAGGGAGGTGCCCATGTAGGATGCTAAGGCGGGAACGCCGATGCTATTTGATATGGTACTTGTGTGTCCTCTTAGGTTAAACTGGGACAACAATTTGAATTTTCTCTTTTGAGACATATAGGATATTAAAGATAATGACCGAAGACATTTAATTGCAGCCATTTGTAAGGTTCTCCAATAGAGCTGGATATTTAAAAGCATGTGGGTGAAGTCTGGATTTCAAGAACGAGATCTTGAAGTGAAAAAACAACCAACCCTGGGTCCCTCAATGTATCCCTGTTGCCCACACACTTTATTTAAAAGGGTCTTGAAATCATCGGTTTGACAATAACTTTAACACTCACCTCTTGTTGGTCGTTTTGGAAGATGCAGAGAAGCTATGGGAGCTGACAGTCCCACATGGCCAGGTGAAAGGAAAGATACAGCTGTCATGCATAAAGCCGGCTAGGTTCCTCGGGAACAGTGAATGACATAGGCGCCCTACCCCTGAGAAGACGGGGGGGGGGGATCATTTGAGCTGTGGTAGAGGATCAGATCTGAAGTGCCTCCCACTTGACGAAGGTTTTCAGAAGGCAGGAGGGATGAGGTGGGGACTGTAGTTGCCCGTGGGGGCGGGGAGCACAGCCCACAGAAGCGCCAGAGCTCAAAGTGTGCCCAGGGCCTGAGTGTGCAGACGTGTCTCTGGGCTCCTGGACGCTGCAGATGACGCAGCCTTCGTGAACTCACTTTTCCTCCTCCCCCTCCTCCTCCTCCCCCTCCCCCTCCTCCTCCTCCTCCTCCTCCTCCTCCTCCTCCTCCTCCTCCTCCTCAGTGACCTAGTTCACCACGGCCTGAGACAGTAAGCTCTTTGAAGTTAAAATAAGCCGATCTATTCTAGGCTTTTGTAACAGACATTGGGAAATCTCAAGTTCTGTTGAGGTCAAGTGGTTTTCACGTGGCCCCTGATAAGCCCTTGGCTTCTTTTCTTCCCGAGGGCTGGCAGTATAGTTCAGTCACACCTTCGCTGGGCTCAGATGTGAGGTGCCTTAAACCTAATCTGTCTTCAGAGGGTCCCCCGACAGCCAGGGAGGGCTCGAGAGACGCCACTGCTTGCTGGGCGTCTGAATGCTGCCCCAGAGAAAGACATTCATGCCATATGGTGCATGCAGATGGGATCTTGCCACATGGGCTGGATCCAGACTTGCTGATGGAGAGCTCTGCTAAGGGGAGCAAGCTCTAGAACCTTCCATCTTTTCCACCAAGAGAAGAAGAGAGCTGGTTATGCAGTCAGGGCATCACTTCCAGCAGTTTGTGAATTCATCAAAGGCACGTAACTGGTGGCCAAACATTTTCCAGTTTGCCCTCCTCCGGCTTTTGTGTGTTGTAAGCACAGCCCCATGAGTTGCAACCTGGGGAAATGCAGAGGAGGCAGGAAATAGAGACAGGACTCTATATAAATCACGTCCATGGCCCTTATGAAAATCCTTGCTGTCCAGTAAAAATAGAATGTGAGCAGCATAAGTAATTTTAGATTGTCTAGTAGCCACATTAAAAACAAATGTCAAAGGTTGCCTCGAAAAACCTGTAAGGGTCTTGTTTCTGTCAGTTTGCCCCCAAACAAAACAAATTTGTGGTGCTCTAACCAGCACGTCATTCTGGATCCTCCCTGGGAAGAAAATACCTCTTGGCCCATGAATAGATTTGGGGAACTAAGTTAGAGCTTCTCATTCCCTACAAAAAGACTAGCCATGTCTCAGAGAATACCTCACTTAAGCAGCAGTTCCCTGTTTTCCAAATGTATTCCCTCCCAAATTGGGATGAATGATTTGGAGATTCCGAGCGCAAATCATTTATGTAGCTGACTCTCCCATTTCTCTTAACAACCGGTCTGGGTTCTTCCTCTCTCCTCTTTCCCTCCCTTCCTCTCCCCTTGCCACTCTTCTTTTCTTCTCTCTTCTTTCTCCTGTTCTTGGTTTAGTCCAGGGAAGGGCTAACCTGACTTCAGCATTTTTGCTTTTGTAGCATATATAATTAGTCCTGAAGATGGGAAAGCCATGTGGTTTGTAGATTTGGCCAGGTCCACACTGTCTGGAATGTGTGCACTTGAGCATGATCTGTAGACCGTTCCCTCCAGGCTAACTCATTACGTCCAAAGAGCGAAAAAAATGAAGCAAAGTTTTCAAAGCGGGAGTCTCTCTGTTACAACTCAATTGCATTTATTTATTTTTACCAAGTAATTATTTTAAATTTCAACCTCATTTTGGCATGTTTGACATCAAGGCATGTCGTGACTCATGACAGTTTTAAGATAATCATCCAATATATCAGACTTTTTTTCCAGGAAATAAAATCCCTTTATAGAGTTTTTGCCATTACAATCCAGCTCTATGTCTGAGTCACAGATGTGGGTTTACTATCCAGCTGTGCTCAGTAGTATCAGGTCAGTGAATCAAGCTAAGATCTATGATGTCCGCAGAGCATGTTCTTGAAAATTCGACGAAGGTAAATCTGCCACATTCACGTTCTCATCATCTGCTGACATTGAAATTCCAAATTACAATTCAGGAGAAAGAAGTCCACTCAAAGAGCTAGGGGAGGAGGGGGAGAAAGGCTGATGGTATGACCTCCAAATGAAAGATTATTATCCCACTGATGGGATATGAGTTTACCTGGTGTTTGTACCACCTGAGTGTGTGCTCGAGCATGTGCATGCGTCTGATTGAGCCCAGGCACTAAATCCTTGAAAATGATTGTGACACCCTAACCCAACCGTATTCTCCAGCACTCTGCAATGTTTCCTATTTGTTTTAACCTGTAGGAAGAAGGAGGATTTGCAGATGATAGTGCCATTTCTAATCTGCTTTGGGTAAGCCTGACTCTAACATAGATGTCCTCTAGATTATAGCCACAGTTCGACCTCGCCATGTGTAATCTTCATCACTGGTGTTTCCCTTTTAAGCCCTCGCTGTTTGGTTCCTTACCCCCAGACAAGATGCCACCTCTATCCAGAGAAGGGAGCTATCCTGTTTCCTTAATTTTTTTTTAATCATATAATGACAAACTTTAAAGACTTTAAGTAAGAGATTTTACGTTAAATGCTGAAACTGTCAATGAAAGTCACGGTTCCCTCTCAGTAACTGAATATCATAGAGATTGCAGTAATCTTATCATTACCTCATGTAATTACTGCACAGAACTGACTTGGGTATATTTACTGTGCTTGTGTGGATTTCTGTTAGCACTCTAAGAAAACAAACAAATAGGAAGGACTCTCTTGAAAAGAGAACTGAAATTGCAATGAGTAAATTAACATCCTGGTAGAGAAATCTTGTTTTTATCTCTACTCCTCCCCTCCCAGCTCTGATACACCTTTTCTTTTCACCTCTAATCCTCTTGCTTTGCTCTATAGGAACCTGTATATGCTTCTACTTATTCTCCTGCTATACCTGCTGCTCATAAACACCTGTCTTTTGTATCTATTAATCAGGTGAGGAAAAGCCTACACATTTTAAGCCTCATTGCAATTTCTGAGCAGTAGGGAAGAACTTGTTTCATTTGGGGAAGTAACTCCTTTGCTGCATTTCAGTGCGTGTTGTGTTTGTGTGTGTGTGTGTGTGTGTGTAATCCATTCTCATAAATTTAGAGCTAGTCACATCACATCCATGGGTCAGACTTTTAGATAGACTTGATGGCATTCATTCACTGAATGAATCGTGAAATGGGTTTAAGAGGAAAATTTCCCCCTTTTAATGTCCAATCTTCATATCCTAAGGTAAGTCAGGAGCCCAAGGAATACGCCAGAGTGTTCTTGCTCCCGCTTGGGAACAGTGCTATCTTTCTAAGCTTGATAAAGGAAGATGTGGAGATGTGGTGGAGGCAGTTGGGTGTGGATGGGCTGGAGTGGAAGATACAGAAAAGAAGAGGCTATTCAGACAGGAGCTGCTTGCAGTGATTTACTGAGATGAGAAACCACAGACCTCCTGCCCTTTATGCTCTGTCTTCACTGTACCTCATCTGAACCCCACTCCAGAAAGGAGATCTGGCTTGGGCAGAATCATTCCGTTGGTGCATAACACATGATCCTTGTTAAAACTCAGAGTACCAGTGATTGTTTTTTATTACCCTTGGAATGTCCCTGGGGTCAAAATAGCTATGAGAAGTGCCTGCATCCACTTTGTCATGAATCCCAGATGCTAGCCTCTTTCCTTCTGAGGGAACTTAACCTAGTCATTTCCCTCTGAGGGCGTTTGTCTCCTCATCAGAACTGGGACTTTCTTACCTCTAAGATGTCCTCTAACTAAAAATTTCATGACTATACTGTTCCTTTAGGATGAGTGGTGACAAAACAGGTCTTTGAGGAAGACACTGAGACCTTATTTCAAATATGAAACTGACAGAGTCCTATCAGAGCGAGGTGTCTGCTGGGCCCTCCTACCTCACCTTATATCTTCACAGTGGAAACCCCCCTCTTCCTCACTCTCCTGCATTCCTCTGAAGTTAGGAATGCTGATGTGTGAGAGCCCAGCCCCACACAGACATCAGGGTCAGCCCCCAAAAACAGGCTGAAATCTGGAGCAAACCTGCTGTTCTATCACCGAGGGGGTGGGGATAGGTTGTTTCTTCTAAATAGGTCATATTAAACTTGAAAAGAAAAAATATATTATTGAACTGTTTAAATATAAATTATATTTATTATATATATATGCACATACATACATTTTTTAATAAACTTTATTTTTTTAAAGGAGTTTTAGGTTCACAGCAAAATTGAGCCAAAAGTATAGAGATTTCCTGTATATCTTCTGCCCTCCCGCCCACCCCACCCCCACATACACACACACATAGTCTTCCCCACTATCAACATCCCACACCAGAGTGGTACATTTGTTAAACGTGTTGAACCTGCATTGACACATCATTAGTGCCCAATGTCCATATTTACATTTGGGTTCACTCTTGGTGCATAGTCTCTGGATTTTGACAAATGTATAATGACATGTATCCATCATTATAGTATCATATAGACTAGTTTCACTGCCCTAAAAACCCCCTGCACTCCATCTATTTATACCTCCCTCCCTCGAATCCTTGGCAGTTTCTTTATTGTCTCCATGGTTTTGTCTCTTCCAGAAGGTCATATAGTTGGGATCATGCAGCATGTAGCCTTTTCAGATGAGCTTCTTTCACTGTGTCATATGCATTTAAGATGCCTCCGTCTTTTCATGGCTCGATAGCTTCTTTCTTTTTAGTGCTGAATAATATTCTCTCTCTGGTTATACCACAGTTTGTTTGTTTGTTTGTTTGTTTGTTTTAAAAATATGGAACACTTCATGAATCTGCATGTCATTCTTGTGCAAGGGGCCATGCTGATCTTCTCCGTATCATTCCAGTTTTAGTATACGTGCTGCCAAAGGAAGCACGTACCACAGCTGATTTATCCATTTGCTTACCAAAGGGCAACTTGGTTGCTTCCAATTTTTGGCAATTACAAATAAAGTTGCTATAAATATCCATCTGCAGGTTTTTGTGTAGACATTTTCGACTCATTTGGGTATCAAGCAGCACAGTTGCTGGATCATATGTTAAGACTCCTTAGTTTTGTAAGAAACTGCCAAACTGTCTTGCAAAGTGGCTGTACCAAAGTTTGCATTCCCACCAGCAAAAAATAAGAGTGCCTGTTGCTGCATATCCTCACCAACATTTGGTGTTGTCAGTGTTCTGGACTTTGGCTGTTCTAATGGGTGTATAGTGGTATCTCATTGTTGTCTGAATTTGCAGTTCTCTAATGACTTTTGAGGTGGAGCACCTGTTCATATGCTTGTTTGCCACACATATATCTTCTTTGTTGAGATGTCTGTTCAGATCTTTGCCCATTTTTCAGTTGGTTGGTTGTTTTCTTATTGATGAGTTTTAAGAGTTCTTTGTATATTTTGGATAACATTTCTCTATCAGGTGTGTCCTTTGCAAATATTTTCTCAGTCTGTGTCTTGTCTTCTCATTCTCTTGACAGTGCTTTCACAGAGCAAAGGCTTTTTTATTTCAATGAATTTCAGTTTACCAGTTCTTTCTTTCATTAGTGTTGTACCTAAAAAGTCATCATTGAATTCACAGTAATCTAGATTTTTCTTTTATGCTATCTTCTATAAATTTTATAGTTTGACATTTTACATTTAGATTTATGATCCATCTTGAGTTAATTTTTGGGGAGGGTGTAAATTCTGTATCTAGATTTTCTTTTTCCCTCAGGAAGTGGATATCTAGTTGTTCCAGCACCATTTCTTGAAAAGACGTTTTAAGTTCACTGTATTGCTTTGGACCTTTCAAAGTTAGTTGAGTATATTTGTATGAGTGTATTTCTAGGGTCTCTATTCTGTTCTATTGATCTACTGATCTGTTTTTGTTTTTTTTTCCTCAGTAATACCACACTGTCTTGATTATTATAGCTTTATAGTAAGTCTTAAAGTCGGATAGTGTCAGTCCTCCAATTTCGTTCTTCTCCTTTGTTATTGTGTTGGCTGTTCTGAGTCTTTCCCCCTCTCCATATAAACTTTAGAATTAGTTCATCAGTATCCACAAAGTAATTTGCTGAGATTTTGATTGAAATTGCACCAGATCTGTAGATCAAGTTGGAAAGAACTGGCATCTTGACAATACTGTAGCTTCCAATCCATGAACATGGAATATCTCTCCATGCATTTTTAAGTTTAAAGAAAAATACCACGTACAGTAAGAGGTAGTTTATGTTCCATCACTTCAGAATTAAAATAGCCTTAAAATTCTGTATTTTTATATCTTGACAACTTTCTCAGATAAACATTTTATATACCAGACTTTGTAGCACTACCTCATCAGTGTCCTTGAAGACTTCTTACCTCCCACAGACCTGGTATCTGTGTTCACTAATGCAGAGGCTCAGAAAAGAAAACAGAGCATTACAACAGCATACATGTTCTGTCTAAATGGACCGTTTGTCCCTTTGTTGGGCTTTCACGTGCATTTCCTTCTTCCTCACATGCCTCACAACTGTACCAGAAGAAGATTTCCCTGTATCCCTCTCCCTTCATCTGAGTTGCTGGTAGATGGTGGCAAGACCATGGTTAGTTGGAGGTCTAAGCCTAGTTGGGATCTTTCTCCATGTTTTGTTCAAGCCATTGAAGGCTGTGTGTGCTGACAAGGGACTGAAATCACTGAAGGAGGGGGCGAAGCCACAATTCTTTAACAGTACACAGAATTCTAAAAAAAAAAAAAAAAAGTAAGTAGTACTGATTTGTCACTTTATTTCTACTACTTAATCTGTGTTCTTATAATTTCTTTAGTTTAACTAGATGTGAATAAGATAAAAATTTAAAAACCAGATCACAGTATTTTCTATCCATGAAGCTCTCCAGTTGTGGAAGAATTTTACCCTTAAATCTGTACTAATCCTAGGAAAACATGTTAGATTTGCTCACTCTTCTTGTATCACCTCTCTGTGTCAGCAACATGTGGGAAGAGTTGCAGTATGCATTCTCAGTAGGTATACAGAAGCAAACCCATCAGTAATGATGCAGTGACATGAAAACATTCTTGCAGATTGATCCTTTGCCTAACTTCAAACTGTGTCCTACCAAGTCCCTGCCATCCCTAAGACCTGCCTTCCTTCCCAGCTGTCCAGCTGTTTTCACTTGTTTCACTGCCTCACTGCCTTCTACACACACACACACACACACACGCACATGCACACACACGCACACAGGTACACGCAGATGCTTATTCCTTCCCCTCACTGTTTCCATCTCTCTGTACCACATTCATGGGATCTGCATTTGAAAGAATGGAGGACAGATGGAGTAGGGCCTCTATTCATATTCTGTCCCAACTCTCTTACCATTCCAGTCAATCCTAAATATCATCAGCTAAACCTAGACAAGCCTGGAAAATGGCACAATACTTATTATAATATATACCACGTCCTTCTCTAAACAAGGAAAGAAAAACTTAGAAGGGAAAAACAAGACAAGACAATAATGAAATGGAAAGCTAAAAAAAAGTCAATGGACAAAGATGTGTGTCTTGTTCTCACATTTTGAATTCAAAAGTTTAATAGCAGCTTGTGAGAAATTGTATTAATCTTCTCAGGGGATATATAAGCTGTATATTTCTTACCCCACTAGAGAGCCATCTGAAGTCAGATGACAAAGATTGGGCAAACTACTGGAAGCTTCTAATAGCTGTATCATTCCTGGGCTCGTAGCTTCCATGTTCCTGCAGGAGCTCCCGGGGAATCTGAGTGCTTTGGGAAATGGAGTTGTGGATTCGGGGATGCCATTTTTTTGAGTCATGAACCACACCCCGCCACCACACCTGGGACTTTGGAGATGTGTTACCAAGTTCAGCAGAACTAATGATGTCTGGATCTTTGGAGAAGAAAACTTTCTTGGCACTTCAGATATTTTTTCAAAATGTTTTAAGCCAAGTGCTACACTGATTTGATTAAAATTCACTCCCGAAACTTCATTTTCAAAGAAAATGTATTATCTTTTTTTGAATTTTGATGAGGTCTTCCTGGCAAGTCAACCTCAGAGTTTATTTAATAAGAGTATTTGATTCAGAGAATTACTTGGAATTAGGGTCATCTCACCAGTCGTAAGTGGAAAAGTGAAGGAAAAGGGTTTTTAACTTTGGGATAATATTTTATTTTGATAAAATTTAAAACTTACCAAAAAAGGGCCAATGATAGGGCTCTCTCATATACCCTTTACCAAAGCCACCAACTGTTAGCATTCACTCGCCGCCCCCACCCCGTCTCCTCTCTTCCCTCCAACGCATCCCCTGCCACTGCTGCTGACTTCCCTCTTCCCCTTCTGTCTTGTATACACATACATGATATACATGGTTGGGGCTACCCTAACAGAACGCCATAGACTGAGTGGCTTATAAACAACAGAAATTGATTTCTCACAGTTCCGGAGGCTGAAAGTTCAAGATCAGGGTGCCAGTATATTCTGTGTCTGGTGAGAGCCTGCTTGCTCTTTGTTGATGCTCCCTGCATCCTCACATGGTGGGACGAGCAGGGGAGCCTTCTGGGGTGTCCTTTATAAGGGTGTTACTCCTCTTCAGGAGGGCTCCACCTCCCTGACCTAACACCTCCCAAAGGCCTCACCTCGGGTGCCTGGGTGGCTCAGTTGGTTGAGCGACTGCCTTCGGCTCAGGTCATGATCCTGGAGTCCCGGGATCGAGTCCCGCATCGGGCTCCCTGCTCGGCGGGGAGCCTGCTTCTCCCTCTAACCCTACCCCCTCTTGCGCTCTCTCTCTCACTCTCTCTCTCTCAAATAAATAAATAAAATCTTTAAAAAAAAAAAAAAAGGCCTCACCTCCTAAGACATCACACTGGGGATGAGGTTTCAACGTACGTAATTTGGGGCACACAAACATTTGGTCAAGCTCACTTCCGTAACCACGATACAGTGATGAAGATGAGGCAATGGAACACTGATGCAGTGTTTAGTCCATAGCCCATTTCCAGCTGTGTCTGTTCCCCTCCAGTCCCTTCTAGCCCCCACTGTCCCTTCAGGAAAAGAGTTTTTAACCTAATTTAAATTACCAAACATCTCAAAGGATTCATGCACTAGATGATGGAGAAGTCCATGTTCATGGCTTAACCCAAATGTGGCCCATGCAGATATGTTTTATGCCCATCTCTCCGGGAAAGGAAAGAAAAAGCCCTCTCCTGTATCACCTTCCATCATTCCAGTGCTTTAGGAAGATGAACTCTGCCAATCTCTACTTTCTTGCTGAATGAATCTAGAAGAGTTTTCTTCTGTTGGTCAGTTAAGGGAAGTCAGTTGGATGGACTTCCCCTCAGGGCTCTCCTGGTTTTCTGACTTTGGTCAGTGGAAGGTCTATGATTACGTGGACCTTTGTTGCTTCTTATCCAAGGAAAAACTCCTAACAAGGGAAGAAGAGCTGGGGAACCTGCCAGAAGAGGTTAAGGCAAGCCCCAGCAGGAACGGCCCACCTCAGGTCTGAGAAGGGGCTGAGGTTAAAGCCAAAGCACAGAGCCAGGAGGCCACACCAGCTTTAGGGCCCCTGTCATAGAAGCAACCTTGCGGTGGGCAGCGGAGCGAGCGAGGGAAGTTCCTTCTGCTCTGGGGAGGAGGCTTTTCCTCTCTTCCTTCTTCAGCGCTCGCCCCCATAGCACCTGGCCCTGCCTCTCTTCCTGTTCCATGCTCCCTGCCACTTGATAAATTTTAAATTTTATCAAAATAAAAAATTATCAAAAAATTAAAAAGCCCCTTTCTTTCATTTTCCCCTCATGATTTGTGCCTAATTTGACCCTAATTCCAAGGAACTCTGAGAGGGGTTGGTAATGAGAGGAGGGACAGCATGGAGGAGGAGGGAAAGCAAACTCTGTCCTACCAGCGTTGAGGGCCTCCCGCCCTGGTGTCGCCCGCCACGTCATCCACACTCTATCCCTGGCACGCCCCTTCCCCTCCACTGCACTCCATCCTCCACCTCTTCCTGCACCTCCTCCTCTCACCTCAGCCCAGTCCCGTCCTCGCTCCTCCCCTCTCCTCCCCTCACTCAGTCCCCAAAGCCTCTTCCTCCCAGGCCAAATGAGTTCACCAAGGCCTTGGAAACTGAAGAGGCAGGTATCTCCAGAACCCCTTTAGAAGCTTCTGAAAGCAGTTTTTAGGTAGAGATGTTAGTCTGTATGTAGGTTACGTCCATAGCACGATTCATCCTCAGTGTCAGACACACTGTGACCCAGACGCCCCTTTCGGGGGCTGACCTGCTTCCCTAACTGCCCACGTAACAGAGTTGTCTGGGAGAAAGCATGCTGATTTCCAGAAAACCTTCTTGTAGCACACTTTATTCCTATACTCAGCTTTCTGTCTTTTATACTTGACCGTGGTCCTCGTGAACGGACATGGATAAGATTTTCTGGATTGACCATGTCTTTTGTGAGAATAGATGGATAAAATTTCCTAATCAGCTGAGTTTAGCTATCTCAGTAAATTGAGCAACTTTAAATTGATGGCATGAAGAGAGTCTCTATTTTTGTTTATTTGTACAAAGTATCATTTTGGTGTTCCAGTATTCCAAACGAATGAGTGAAAAAAAAAAATCAAAGTTTTAACCTAAAGTTTCAGTGTTGTTGATGGTGATCTCTCACCCAAGCTGGAAGTTAGGATGCCAAACCTATCTCAGCTAGAACGGTTACGGACATTTTTGGACAGTGTAGCGCTCCTGTTTGTTTGCCTGCTCTTTGGCTCACAGAATGCTGCATGCTGAAATTCACAGCTCTGTCCTTTCCCTGTCCCGTTTTCTCCTTGGCACACTTCGTAAGCAGCGGGTCACAGAAAGTCGAGAGAGCCAGATGACTATTGAAGAGAGGAAGCACCTCATCACTGTAAGAGAAGAAGCCTGGAAGACAAAAGGCAAAGGAGCGGCCAACGACTCCACCCAGTTTACAGTGGCTGGCAGAATGGTGAAGAAAGGTCAGAATGTGTGTGTGTGCGTGCATGGGTGCGTGGGAACAGGTGTGCGTGCGGGGGGGTGGGGGGGCACACGCTCTGTTGCCCATGGAGGGGAGGGTGGCACATGATAACTCAATTTAAAAAATCAAGCCATGGTCTTTTTTAGTTTTTACTCTTATTGAAGTTGTGTAAACGTTTTCTGGCTAGATTTTGTGAGCTATTCCTACTGAAAACCTTTTCTTCCTATTAGCATCATCTTTATGTAGGAAGTATAATTCAGTTAGACACATTTCAAAATTTAGCCATTTGAAAGTTGAGCGCAGGTTTCAAAAAGCAATTGCAAATCATCTAACAAATCTTAGTCCTTTCCCATAATTGCTTTTAAATTATTTTCATTTTCTTGCCATCTGGCAATCAGTTAACCCAAATAAGCCTTTGTCAATGAAGAACGAGTTTATGTCTTCTCTTTTTTAGAGTAATTTCTAGGTCCCTTTCCATCAAACCAGAGTTCACCGGCTTGCAAAGCCCTAGTTTCTGATCTGTTTTAATAGGTGTTTAAAAGATGTATGCCATTCTGAGGAAGTGGGATTCCCTGCAGACGGTCACTTCTTTGCCGCTGAGCTCTTAGAATTGATTTGAAACCAGTATTGAAAGATTTATGAAATTGACCGATGCGTCACATGGTCAGTGAAGTCCCTTTATGCCTCACGTGATCAGTAAATCTGTGAGGCTCCCTATCTGGTGGGAAATGGTTAAAATCTGGGGTCCCTTCATCACCTATCTGCATATACCTTCATTTTCTAAGGTATTGTTTAAAAACAAATTTCCTGACTTGGTGATAAAAGCACTCACACGCACTTAGAGCTAACGTATGTTGTCATCACCTTTCTCAGTTCATGCTTCTCTTTTCTGGAAACCTTTCAGAATCCTCACTTATAAATAGTGCCTAACTCATTGTAGGTGCATAATAAATATTTGCAGAAGGAAGGGCAGGGAAACCCTGAATTGTGATTAACTCAAATCTTGGTGGAAGAAAACAGAAGACAGTTTGCTCCTACCGAACGAGGTAGTCATTGCGTATTTTCTTCATCAGATCACAGACCTGTATACTCATGTTAAACGACTTTGGCCTGAGCCCCATCCCTGTGTTAACAAAAGCAGACCCTGAGGCCCATGCTGGTTAAGAACTCAAGCTGGGAACTTGAACCAGAGTTCCGATCTTCCAACTTTTAGCCTGGACTTTCATCCCGATAACTTTTTACTTTGGTTTCTTTCTTCCTCTTCCAACTTAAAAATTACCATTTATTTGTAAGCAGGCCCTTATTACCAAATACACTGCCCTTGTGCATAGTGATGTCAGAGGAAGTGGATTTGCTCTCATGCCAGTTTGGAGAACAAGGTTAGAGAAGTTCTTATCCCTTAGCGTAGGAGTTTGCTTTCACATTTCTTTTTTTTTTTTTTAAGATTTTATTTATTTATTTGACAGAGAGAGACACAGCGAGAGAGGCAAGCAGGGGGAGTGGGAGAGGGAGAAGCAGGCCTCCCATGGAGCAGGGAGCCCGATGCGGGGCTCGATCCCAGGACCCTGGGATCATGACCTGAGCCGAAGGCAGACACTTAATGACTGAGCTACCCAGGCACCCCTGCTTTCACATTTCTTGAACAAATCCAGGATCTTTATTTAACAGGTGCTCTATGGCTTGCTCAGGAAATAATTTTCTTGTACTTTTAATCTAATGAAAAAGCTGTATCCTGTTTTTCTAATATTTTTTACCACTTGCTGAGTTACATGTTTCACTGGAATCGTCAGCTCCTTCTGATTTGCAGTCATTTGGCATCCAGGTGCTACACTCACAAACTGCAGAATCAAGTAGCCCCTTTGCCACAGCCACAGAGACTTCTCAGCTCAGCGGGTTGTGACATATCAGTGAGTTGCTGAGAGGTGTGCTGTACCCTGATTTTCATTCCCTCCCTCCAGAAGACTCTATTCTCCCCTCGCTTCGTTAAGACGTTTTGATGTTCCTAGACTGTACCTAACAATTGGTACTCTAGTTCCTGTGGTATCCTATGATTCTCTGAAAGGAAAGTGCTCAAAATACGCCTTTGAATAAGAGAGCTATGAAAATGTCTCTGAAGAGACATAACCAGGTGACTGGTTATTGCAGGTAGAATCACTGAGAAGAGGTATGGGGAGTGTTTTGTTTAACAGTGTCCCATCATTTAAATTTATATGCCCTCCCCCATTAGGGAGAAACCCTTGCCTATAGTTGGGAAGGGGATGTCCCACCTGCGGGAGCTCTTGCGGGTGTTGCCGCCTGAAGGGGCAGCAGGGGGCGCTCCGACGGTCCGGAGGGCCGGTTCCCCGAGCTCTACCTCCTTTTAGTAGGTGATGATTTACGGTACCTGTACTGCCTGTGATACCAAATTTTACTTTATTATCTTCCAAGAAAGTTTGCTTTCTCACCGATAGAAACCTTTTGTGGGTTTGGTAACTGAAATAAATGCTTTAATTTTTATAGACATCATCAGGCAAATATATGTACCTATTAAGAAATACTTCCAGAATATCACCTAAAACTGAAGTTTTAAACCACATTTCAATATTTTTCTTTAAAAGTTTTATGCTATTATACATCCCTCTCCAGCTAACGGAAGGAGCAGAGCGATTCATTCATTTATTTTTCCTAGTGAGCGATAGTGAGTTACATGTTCTGCAAATGCTGTTCTTTGAGGGATATGCTTAAAGTGGCAATGTCATCTAATGATTTCACATCTATTACAAATGAATACAAAGAACATTAACATCTCATCTTGTTCTTTGTAAATGCACTAAACACTTTTCTTTGCAATCCCTTCTACGTAGGTGAGGGAAAAAGTACTCATCTTTGTCTTTATTAAGGTTTCTTGTTCCAACCAGATATCCTCTCTATGCTGGAATGCCTTTCTTTCATGTGTCCCTAACCTTTATACTTTTAAAAGATTCCCCCCCCCACACACCCCCCCCGCTTCTTGTTAAATGTATGTGAAAGCATATTGCTAGTTCCCAGCCACACCTGAGATGGATACAACCCTTCAGCAATCATAGATCAATTTAACTATATCCTCTTTTTTGTCTTTCTTCTAAAAGGTTAGTACTCCTTAGGCTGTTACTCAATAAAATCACACTCTGCTTGGGGCACCTGGGTGGTTCAGTCATTAAGTATCTGCCTTTGGCTCGGGTCATGATCCCAGGGTCCTGGGATCGAGCTCCGCATCGGGCTCCCTGCTCAGCGGGAAACCTGCTACTCCCTCTTCCACTCCCCCTGCTTCTGTTCCCTCTCTCGCTGTCTCTCGCTGTCAAATAAATAAATAAAATCTTAAAAATGATCACACTCTGCTTGATGTCCCCAAAGGCCAAACTGCCCCCACCTTGTCTCAGCCTGCAGGAGGACCCCAATGCCAGGGGCCACTTGGCAGCTGGTGTGACACGGCCCATTCTCCACTTCCTCTGTGGGATGTGGTGCAAAATACTTTCTCTTGACCTGCCTCCACCACCCTAAAGGGCCTTCAGGACTCACAACTCCATGTGTTTAAGTATATTCTGATGCCTTACACACTCTTCTATTCCATTTACGTGTTATGGGCACGTTTCCTCACCTGTCTTCATTGTTCATTTTGGAGTGGCAGCTTCACTGCCATTTCAGCTACTGTAGTCCTTAGAAACTACAAAACTGTGTCTACATCTGCAGTTGTCCTACCTAGCCACAATACCTGCCGGATGTACGTCATGTGCACACGCATGCATGTGTGTAAAGTCTATACGTTGTAAGGTCTACGTTGGGACTGATGGAGATCCAGCAGGGTCCTGGGAATTTCCAGAAATGATCCTGAGATACTAACTAGCTTCTTTGATGTTCTGCAGGTTTGGCATCACCCACAGCCATAACTCCAGTAGCGTCTCCTATTTGCAGTAAAACAAGGGGCACTACACCAGTTTCTAAACCCTTGGAAGGTAAGTCACCGAGGCACCTGATATGCCCGTGGGTCTAAGACCAGAAGAGTCCCCGTGACACCCTCTCATGGATGGTTCCCGCTTGCCTAGATATTGAAGCCAGACCAGACATGCAGCTGGAATCGGACCTGAAGCTGGACAGGCTGGAAACCTTCCTAAGAAGGCTGAATAACAAAGGTACATACCAGAAGCCAGAGGGAAGCTTCGGTCCTTGTGCTTGTAGCTCACTGGGATTCGTATTTCAATGAGGAGCTAAAGAAACCTAAAAAGAAAACCCTGCTTCTCTCGCAAAAGTCTCTAAATCACAATTCTGATTGCTTTTTCTCCACTAAATTGTCTTCTTTCTCTTTGACTTCACTGATTTATAGTGAAAGCATTACCTTTGTTATCATTTTTAAAAGGAAGTCAGGAATGATTGGATTACCCAGGTCTGATTCACTTCATACTGTACTAGACTGGGGACCTCCAGTAAGGTTGGTTCTTGAGTCTCAGTCCCTGGGATGTCACCCAATCAGGACTGAGAACCCAGTAATTTTGCTTTTATACTTGAAAGCAGGTATTACACAAAATCGATGTGATCTCGCGCCCGATGAAATTTAAAATTGTATATGTCAGTTTCTTTTTCTTTTAAGATTTTTTTTATTTATTTGTTTGAGATAGAGAGTGAGAGAGAGAGCATGAGCCAGGGGGCAGAGGGAGAGGGAGAAGCAGGGTCCCCACTGAGCAGGGAGCCCGACGCAGGGCTCAATCCCAGGACCCCAAGATCAAGACCTGAGCCACCCAGGCACCCCTATCTGTCAGTTTCTAATAAGGTAGCAGATGATGTATTGCAAGTGATTTCTGAATAAATGTTGAAATAAACATTTCAGTACAAAAGTCCATGAAGTATACAAAGTAAAGGAATAATATGCAGAACTAGCGTCATCTCTTAATAAAAATGTCCAGTACTTGAGGGGTGCCTGGGTGGCTCAGACTCTTGATTTTGGCTCAGGTCATGATCTTATGGTCATGAGATTGAGCCCTGACAACAGGCTTCGTGCTCAGTGCAGAGTCTGCTTGAGGATTCTCTCCCTCTCTCTCTGCCCTTACCCCCCACTTGCATGCATGCTCGCTCTTTCTCTCTCAAAATAAATAAATAAATCTTTAAAAAAAAATGTCCAGTACTTGAAACCAATCGAATACTAAGCACTGGGAGTCGCTACTGTTGACAGTGACCTCCTAATAGCTTGGGGATAATGTAGACGACCACTTTATACCAGGAACATGAAAGTGTAATATAATAACGAAACTGGCAAGGCAAGGAATTCAAACAACTCGAAGCTCATTGCATATATGGAACGGTGATCTAGCTCAGCAGGTCAGGAAACTAATCCAGCTCTCTACCTGTTTTCGTTAATGAAGTTTGTTTGGAACGAGGTCATGCTCACTTGTTAATGTGTTGCGAAGAGTCACTTCTGCACAGTAGCAGGGGTGAGTGCTTGCCACACAGGCCATATAGCCTCCCAAGCACAGCCTATGGTGTTTACTATGTGACCCTTTCTAGAAAAAGTTTTTACCGATTTCTGATCTAGAATGAGGCTGAGGCCATTTCCACCTCCAGTAGTTCAGAAATGCTCGGTGGGCTTTCATGGCCTCCTTCTCTCCTACCACCTGCGTGGTGCAAGCTTTTTGAAGATGGGCAGTCCTTCCGGGAGAAGTCAAGGAAGGCCCAGGAAGCATCCGTGGGACCCTGGGCCTCACTGTCATGTTCTCTCCACTTCTGGAATGTAGGGGGAAATAAATTTGAAGATATTGTGTAGTTGGTGTCGTGTTTGGACACAAATCCGATGTCATGTATTCTCTTCATCTGTTGGTAGTTGGTGGGATGCAGGAGACCGTACTCACGGTCACTGGTAAATCTGTGAAAGAGGTGATGAAGCTGGACGATGACGAGACCTTTGCCAGATTTTACCGCAGCATGGATGACACTGTGCCTCGAAGCCCCGTGGAGCTGGACGAGGATTTCGATGTCATTTTCGATCCTTATGCCCCTAAGTGAGTTATTTCAGTTTCCATCTTTCACCACTGAGAATGGCTGGTTCCTTCGTCAGCCTTCACACGGTACCTCTATGAGGATCTTCTCTCGCTGTCACCGCCTTCTGCCGTAGACCTTCCTTACAGACACATGATTATTCTCTAGAGCCAGACACATGAGGTAGATGAAACACATGCGCTCCAGAACAGATGTGCGCTCGGGCAGAATGTCGGTGAACACAGCGTGTGCCACGGATGTTTGCCCTGGTCCATAAAAGTAATGTCACTGGATTGTTCACATAACTGAATATTGTCTTGCAGATTTTTAGATGAACATAAATTTAGCGAGAGGTCTCTATACTGTCTTTCATTTGACATGTTGAACTCTTACTCGTAACTTTGAAAAATATTTGGATCACATGGGCTCAAACTCCTACAACGAGCTAGAAAATCAATACAGCGTGTTACTTAACTTACAATAATTCATGAAATGAATAGATCTGAGAGCCTTCTCAGTGATGACCAAGGGTCGCTCTTCACCCAGGGTCATGACTAAACCACCTCAGGAAAGCAATTATGGTTTTAGGATTCCTTCAGTTGCAGGTGCCAGAAAGAAATCCAAGTCAAACGGACTTCGGCAAACGAGAGGTGTGGAGCGATTTATAGGTTCACTCACTGAAAGGTGAAGGTGTGAACTAGGTTCCAGGGGCTCCTCAGAATGAGTTCTCTTCTCTTGCCGCTTTTCCTTCGGGCTGCTTTGCTGCAGCCAAGCTGTAACCATGTGGTGGACAGTGGCCACCCCAGCTGTGGATGTTTCAGCTACCTACTCTGCCGTTCCAGCACAGACAGCTTCTCTTCTCACAGTTCCCGCCAGCCCAAGTTCCAGGCTTGATTTTCTAGGGCCCGAGCCCAGCCCTAAAGCAATCACTGTAGCCAAGGGGATAGAAGGTGCTGATTGGCCAGAGCTGGTCTCTGGATGCCCCAGAGCCAGTGTCAAGGTTTTCCTACCAGAAGCCAGGGAGAGTATACACTGGGCAGGCTATGCCTACAGCCATGGACCACATTTGTCTCTTCCAGAAGACTGTGGGGTCACCATACATTTTCCTGCATTTTTTGCATATTTCCCATTTTTTTCAGTTTTTCTCAATTTTCTATCTTAAAAAATGAACAGTTTGCCATTTCCTGCCTTTAAGTGAAATTTTGTGTATTTGCATACACAGGCATTTTACCATTTCTCATCTTCTCCCAACCCAAATGTCATTGCTTAAATCGTTATATCTATAGAGCTATATCTATGTTTATAAACACACTCTCACACGGAGGACCATATTATATATAATAGCACAGAGGCCATGCAGTTGGAAATTGAGAGCAGGAGTGGAATCTGTCAGGAAACCATGTGACTGGATCGCTTACCTCCCCATGTCTGGTCTGCCCCCAGAGAGTTGTGTCAGTGTATGAAGTTATAGCTGGCTTCTTGGACCTATTTTATTTCAATACATTCTTCAAAGCAGTGGTTACTTTTCAGAAAGGTGCAAAGGGTTGAGAGGAGGCTAGTTGTGGGGGAGTTCCTAAGGAAACTGAAAACCAGTTGTGTAAAAAGAACCTTTAGTCTGGAGGAAAGAGAAATCGAGAAGCAATGACTGGCTGTAAATTCTTGAAGGGCTCCCCAGGGACAGAAGAAGTAGACGTGTGTAATATTCCAACAGGAGAAGTAGGAGGAGTTCATGGGTGTGATAAGGGTGAGGAAGAACTTCCTACCCTGCAGAGCTATCCAGTAGTAGAATGAGCTGTCCCATGTAGCACCAGATGCCCCTCCAAGCAGAAACCACAGGGTGTGGTGTGGGCGGTGGGGAGCCTCTGGGATCTTAGACTAAATGGGCCTGAATCCCCCATCTCCAAGATTCTTTGTCTCCATGTCAGGAAGTGGCAGGCAGGAGAAGGAACTGTACGACTTACAACGAAATCAGGAAATAAAATGGTAGAGACTGTTATTTCAGGTCAGAGACCCCCAAATAAAGCAGGCGTGGAGGCTATGCAGACCAAGGCTACAACTCCACTTTGCTCCCCAGGTTGACCTCCTCTGTGGCCGAGCACAAGCGCGCAGTGAGGCCCAAGCGTCGGGTTCAGGCTTCCAAAAATCCCTTGAAAATGCTGGCAGCCAGAGAAGATCTCCTTCAAGAATACACGGAGCAGAGATTAAACGTTGCCTTCATGGAGTCGAAGCGGATGAAAGTAGAAAAGAGTGAGTATATGAAACCACCACCACCCCGCCTCTGTGTTGGGGTCTGGTGATTAGGTGATTTTAATCATCTTTTCTGTCTTGCTAAGGCCAATCATGTGTTCAAAAGACACCCATCAAATAAAAATGAGTAAGTTTGCACACACACGTGCACACCCGCCTGGAATGGAAAGGATTTTCACAGAAATTCTTAGAGTGTGGAGCGTCTGTTCACTTTGTTAATTTAAATTATCCTGTTTTGCTGAGTTTTCTTTCAAGAGATTGGAGGAGAAGGATGCTTCTCAGCTTTGTAGTTCAACCCATTTTCAGCTCTGTAGAGCCCAAACACAGTAATTCCCCACTTAATCTTGTTCGAGAGCAAATCATGTGATCGCTCATGAGAAAATGTCCCAAATTACTGCTTTTCCTAACCCTAGATTTTCATATTATTAGTTAATGCATAAACCAATGTTTTCCAAATTGCATTTAACAGGAGCCTCAGGAGCCTCGGAACTGGGGATGTGGACTGGGTAGCGTTGGGGCCTTGGGGTAGAGGTGGTGAATAGGAGTGAGGAGGTAGCTCTGTGCTCTGTGTCCCATTTCAGGCTAAGCTGCTCTGCTCTCCTCAACCTGATAAGGTGGGGTTCCCTTGTTCTGAAACAGTGGTTTTCTTGATGAAGGTAATTAGGGCATACACCATTTGCCAGCTTGAATAGTCTTGCTATAATTTGTATTTTCCTTTAGCACTCAGAAAACTACTTCCAAAAGTTTTTCTTAGAAATATAGCATTTACATGAAGTAGTTGAGTCTTTTCATTATAACTGATTGACTAAGAAAATATATTTCAAAACTTCTGTGCCATATGAATTGTCAAGTAGTGTAAGACCCTAATCCCAGCAAAATAATTTTCTGAATTCCTCTCTAGCACAGACATTTTTTTAAAAACAATCAGTTGAAGAAATAAAGGCTTCTTGGCACAAATTTTAGGTATTTTTCCTCTGCCTCCGCTTTTGGGGGCCTGGGGATGGCTTTGTGATGATTGACATGTACACATTTGTTGGTGTACATGGAAAACCCAGCATCTTGTTACAACAGTCTTAATTCTGAGAGCGGAAGACCTCAAGATTATCTAGTTGATCACTTTGCCTCCAGGAAAAAGATTAGGACTAACCACATCCCTACAAGAGTGCCTGCTTTTCTACGTATAAAGACTTTTATTGAAAGACCTCTCATAGTCTTCCTTGTGAGTGTGTTTGCATTAACAGCTAAACATTGTTAGGAATCATATCAGCTTTCAGTGGAATTGCAACACGTGTGTCCAGCTCTTGATTTTATACCAAAATAGCTGGTCCACACTGTCCCTCGATTCTTGTCCCCCTGCAAGGTGAGGTGTGACATGTGTCCACAAGCAGCTGATACTTTCAGTACAGAGTTAAATCCTGAGTACAGTGGCTCAGCATTGGGCTGCATCGTCAACCAAACCTGAGCATGTTCTCCCCCTCGGGATTGACTTTCTGAGAAAAAGCTAGTCGATGATGAATCTCTGATTGTAAACATTGTCATTTCACCTGCCCATCTTGCCCCCCACCATTGTTTCTTTATTCAACCCTCCCAGTGTCCTCCAACTCCAACTTCTCAGAAGTCACTCTGGCTGGTTTAGCCAGTAAAGAAAACTTCAGCAACATCAGCCTGCGGAGCGTCAACCTGACCGAACAGAATTCCAACAATAGCGCGGTGCCCTACAAGAAGCTGATGCTGTTACAGATTAAAGGTACTTAGGAGCCGCAGAGAGGAATCACATGTGGATCAGGGGTTTGAATCTGGTAACACCAGGAGGTCTGACTATAAGGGGGAGAGAACCTACTGTGGGCTGGGCGCTGCGCCACCTCCTGTCACGTAAGCTTCACAAATCCCATGAGGTGGGAGATGTGACGCCCAGTGAGGCTTGGAGAGCTTAGTGACGTGCCTGAGGTCACAGCGGCTGTTGAGTGGCAGAGCTGGATTTTCATCCAGGTCTTCCCCATTCCAGAAGCTCAGCTTCTGCTGCCACCTCCCCTTGCCCCCTGAGCCCCGCCACCATGCTGTCATGCAGTTCCAGATGCCCCCGAAGTCTTCGTGGAGGCTTCTCCACTCGCTCCTCGCTGAGGTGAGCAAGGTCATTGTGGGCCAGAGGCAGAGATGCAAGTTCTTGGAGAAGGAATCCAGGGAAAGCAGAGGCAAGTGAAGCTGACCTAGATTTCCACTCTAGCACCCCCTCTGTCAATAGCAAGGGAGACGACCAAAGAGGCCGTGAGCTGTGAGGAAAGACTTAGCTGCCTCTAGAGTACTCAGCAAGAGGAGGCTGCATGGAATATCCTTCACGGAGGGTGTCCCGTGTGTTTCTGCATGACCACTGGCCTTTTTAGTGCATTCGGACTAGTGACGAGCATAGACACCCAACGTCTATTCCCGAGTTCTGACCCCGAGATGACACTATCAGTGTGACTGTATCAACAGTCATTTAGGAGAAGGTGTGGAAAGCAGCACAAAGCAGTGCTTCCCTCCAAGCTGACTCCAAGACTGCCCTGGATTTAGCGTGCAAACCCCCAGGAAGAAGATGCTGTGGGAAGGCATGCCCTCACCTGCGGTGTGGCTAGCAGGGGCTATGGAATGCAGGAGGTGGGCTGAGCGCAGAGAAAGGGACCAGGAGAGGAGCTGAAAGGGGGAAAGGAGCACGTCTGCTAACTTACCTGGAGGAGGGAACCTAATTAATCCACACATGTGCTGTAAAAGGACTCCAGTGGTGGTCCTAAGACTCATGGTGACATTTAGGAAAGCACTAACAAGGGAGACTAATCTAGAAGGCTGTCACCAGAAACCCCCTTCTACCACTCTGCATCATGGAGCCGGTATCGGCAGACGAGAATCTTTAGAATTGCAGGAGTCTGGAGCAGGGCTGCTTCCTGGTCCTTCCTGTGGCTTGGAGAGTTCCCCTCTCTGGGAAGGTGGTGACGCTTTGCCTCCTGCCTTACAGGAAGAAGACACGTGCAGACCAGACTGGTTGAACCTCGAGCTTCGTCACTCAACAGTGGGGACTGCTTCCTCCTGCTCTCTCCCCATTACTGCTTCGTGTGGGTAGGAGAGTTTGCAAATGTCATAGAAAAGGCAAAGGTTGGTATCTGAAAAATAAAAATTGTTCCGTTAAGCATCTCCTTTACACAGCAAAGAAAGTTCTACCAGTTGCTAGATCTTTACAAGGCTTCTCAGACGCCAAATGTTTGATTCAAGTGAGGAGGGAGAGGCAGTATGTCTTTTGCTGAATGTCTCTCAAACAAGCATTCATTAGGTGTGTGCGTGCGTGGGATGTTTTAGAAGGATTATGACCTATCTCATCAGTTTTTAAGTCCTATTCTCACCCCTGTGTGAAAAAGGAACTGGCACATCACTTCAAAGCCATTTATCCCAGGTACCCATGAAATGCTGCTATAGGCTTATTGAATGAGAATCTCATGGGCAGAAGCCCAGAGAATGGGTATTTCTCCAAAACTTCACAAGTGGTCTATTGAATTTGAAAATAAAGAGCTGTTGCTGTAGAGAATTGTACCCGTGGTCCTTGAGTTCCATTCTTCTGACCTTGCTGAAAATACCCAAGAACTAGGGCCTGCAGCCCCTGTGGTCACATGGTCTCCCTTGCAGACCTGCCATTTTTCCCCTCCAACTTCAGTATGTGCCACTCTGCCTCACCACAGGCTTGTCTGCCTAGCTAACTGTGCTCCTCCTCCCTTTCTCCAGGCCTCAGAACTTGCAAGTTTAATTCAGACAAAGAGGGAACTTGGTTGTAGAGCTACTTATGTCCAAACTCTTGAAGAAGGAATTAATACACACACTCATGCGGCCAAAGACTTCTGGAAGCTTCTGGGAGGCCAAAACAGCTACCAGTGTAAGAGTTATTTCAGAGAATCTTGAGACTTTTCTTATTCCCTACTTCATTCTTCTAAACCGGCCACCTTTCAGGGTAAAATGTCATACTGTCTTGTTGTTCTTATCCCAAAGCTGCTGGAGACCCAAAAGAAGACGAACTTTACGAAGCTGCCATAATTGAAACAAACTGCATTTATCGTCTGGTGGATGACAAACTTGTCCCTGATGATGAGTACTGGGGGAAGACTCCCAAGTGCTCCCTTCTGCAGTCAAAAGAGGTACAGTGTGTGGGGGCCACCCTCGCCAAGAGAGCACTTTGCACGGGGCTGCCCAATAAAATTGGTCTGAAGTGCCCGAGAAATGCTGGCCAGTGGTCCTGCCTGGTCTTGAACAGTGACCTATTTTTAAAGTATATTTACTTGTGAATTCAAACCATCACTCCATCTTAAATACAAGGATAGAATTCAGAATATTGCTCAGAGGAGGCATGTGTCAGGCTTTTCTGTTTTAGGCAAAATGTAATTTTTTCTTTTTTTTTGTATTTTTGTTGTATTTTTTTTTCTTTTCATATCTGTATGAGGTGATGGATGTCAACTAAATTGTAGTAATCATTTTGCAATATATATATATAAATCAAGTCATTATGCCTTATACCTTAAACTTATGCTGTGCTATGTGTCAGGTATATGTCAGTATAACCAGAGAATAAAATGTAAATAGTCCTTAGCCCTATCTCTTGATTTTTCTATAAACATTAAATGAAGTTTTTTCAGTCCTTAAGTTGCAGGAATAATAGATGCATGTTTATATAATTTGGGTTTGCCAAATTTGCTTTTTTCTCTCACACCGGTAAATGATTACTAAATACATACATTGTCATTACCATTCTGTATTTTATATGTGTTGCGAAAAAGTGGAAAAGAACAAACGAACCTTAAATTTCATTGGATAGAGGAGTATTAGAAAGAATGCGATCCAAAGCAAGGTGGATTGTATGACATGCGTGGGCAATTAAATGGAAAAACGAAATCACAGAAAAGAAATAATCAGGAGTAATTTTAAAGAGAAGGTGCAATTGAGCCTAGTTGGAAGTTGAGTAGGATTTGGATTGCTGGACATGAAGGAAGAAATTAGTCTAAGAGGAAAGAGTCGAATAAACCACAGGCATGGAAATAAGAAATAGCATTACATTCACGTATCCACTCAGCAAACCCATAGTAAAGTCCTGTAAATGCAAGTACGGTATGGTCTGTGCCCTGGAGGGTGCTGGAACTGTATGGAGGGGCGACCACCTCCCTGGTCCTCAGGGCCTGGCATTTAAGAAGTGGCCTCTGTATATGCTCAGTGAATGAAAGAACAAAGGAGGGAGACAGAGAGAAAGAAAGGAAAGAAGGCAGGTAGGAAGACATAGTTAAACAACTCGCCACGGAGTTTGCGAGTTCAGGACAAGAGGGAAATGAGGGCCACAGGGCAGAGGGTAGTGTGGCAGGGCCTCGCCAGCGGTCACACCCATCCCACTCGATCAGTACACACCCTCATTCAACCGGAGCAGGACCTTGACGTTGACCTGTTCTTCTCTGCCGTCTTCCCAGGTACTGGTGTTTGACTTTGGTAGTGAAGTGTACGTGTGGCATGGAAAAGAAGTCACATTGGCACAACGGAAAATAGCTTTTCAGCTGGCAAAGCACTTATGGAACGGAACCTTTGACTACGAGAACTGTGACATCAACCCGTTGGATCCGGGAGAATGCAATCCGCTTATTCCCAGGTATTCCCGTCACGTGCTGATGGTGTGGAAGAGCGCCTGCAGGTTCCCTCAGTGGGCCCGAGTCCCCACCACGCTCCCCTACTGTCACTCCTCGTAGGGTTTCCTTTTCATCACTGACTGCAGGCAGTAGCCTGAATGTTCACAGAAAGAACACTCCCTTAGCTTTTGCCGAACTGATGCAGGACTATGGATGCTGTCATCTTCTGGACGCTGTGTTCAGTCTCCTTCCTTGAGGTGAACAAATTGTTCCCACCTACGGCATTCCAGGTGCTGTCCTGGCAGATGAGTAGCAATTGTTGAAACAAATTACATGCTGATCTGAGAAGCTTCCCAGGACCTGGAATTCCGCCATTGATCTGAAGGTGCAAAAGCAACATATTTCCTTCTAATTTCACACCTTCTCAGTATAGCTTTTGAATTCCAGGATTTGCCATTTATTTGGCAGTAGGTGATGTCTGTGCCTTTCGGGGGGCAGGGAGTGAGAGGGAGGATACTGTATTGAAATAATGATTGTAATTTTAGTATTTCCTACTGGGAGTAAATGAGTGAGCGCCTAATCCGTTGGTTCTCACCATGTTGCAGATCAGAATTACCTGAGAAGCTTTAAAAAAAAATGCACATACCAGGCCCAGCCCCAGCGCCAGCCCCAGCAATGTAGTCTCAATTCGTGTGGGGTGGGGGTTATGTGTTGGGGGTCTTAAGAGCCTCCTCAGGGCTCCTCCTAAGGGGCAGCCAAGATTAAGCACTGAGCCTTTCCTACCAGATGAGGGGCTGAAGCACTGAGGTGTCCAGACTTAGCCCAGTTCAAACATGGAAGTCATTCTGAAGGAAGACGTTCGCCAGCTCACCCCACAACCCACTGCCTCTCATGCTTGCTTGGCTCCCACCGTAAAAGATCATTGTCTAAAGCTGAAAGCAAGTCTCCTCCGATAGGCATCCTAGCAAGTCTGCAGAGTAAAATTTATATAAAAAATGGTCATTCAGACATTTGCCGTGAAAGACCCCAGCCTTGCAAGGGAGTCCTGAATTCCCCAGAGTGGCTGGTACTTGGTTCCCAGAGTCCTGGAAGAGTACGAGGTGGAAGTGTTTGTATACTGTACTTCACCCCGGCAGTCTCCCCAGGAACAGGCAGCCCCCTTGATGTGCCCTAGCTGTGACGTCAGAACCATAGTCCTGACGAAACAGGAAGTGATGGAGCACAGAACACAGCAGGGCCCAGTGAGCACGGCTCAGCATCCCAGGCTCCATTCACAACCAAAGATTGATTTGGAAGGATGAGCAATACCCGCACGAACCCTCTTCAGCCACCATTTCCTCGACTCTGCCTGTTTCTGAGTTACCAGTGTTAGGAACAGTTTCAAGTTCTGAGATCCTGAGGCGGGACCAGGCCTCCAGGTTGGGCTGTGCCACTTACCTTTCTGTGCCTTTGTGCTCCCCCTCCCCCAGCCCACTGTCATGTCTGGTGGCCTGGAAATAAATATGCAGATATTCTCTTTATGATCTATGGAAGTATGCTCATTTTAGTAACAGGAGAATTTCATCTGTTCCTGGACACCGGAGAGCTTTGTTGTAACAGGACTTAATAGAGAATTCAGGATGAGCTCTGCCTCCCTCCCATTGACCCATTAAAGTGACAGACACGTGGTGAGCACCTGCAGGGGACTCTGAGTGCATGGAGCAGGCGAGGACGATGTACATGTGGCTCCTGCCTTCTCCTAGCTCCCGGTCTAGTATACCACCCCCAGAGGATCCCAGATACAAGAATTTGCTAGAAAGAAAGAAAAGTCCAGTCCAGATGGGATTCACATCCCATTCAGGCACATCAACTCCATGCACACAAAGCCTTGCTAGGCATCAGGCTGAAATACTAAAATATCACTCATCTGACAACATGAACCACTCATTCTCTATACCACTAATGTATTCTGAGTTGTTTTCAGTAGCCACGGGTGTCTGTTTTCGATTCCTTTCCTTTGTTCTCGCATGGCTTAATCTCGGTTCTTTTCCTGTCTCCTCCCCCACCCACTCACCCTTTCAGAAAAGGACAGGGGCGACCTGATTGGGCAATATTCGGGAGACTTACAGAACACAATGAGACTATTTTGTTCAAAGAGAAATTTCTCGATTGGACTGAGCTGAAGAGACCTAATGACAAGAGCGCCAGCGAACTTGCCCAGCAAAAGGTATTTTTGGGAATCAAGTCTTAAACCTCAGGCCTTGGTTGAGGTCCCGACAACAGAGGCCTTGAAGCTTAAAAGCCTTCCCGGGGTTTACTGGGAGACAGCAAACGGGTTTCCAGTTATATTCTACCTTCCCAAGGTGAAGTAGGCCTGCCCGTGCCTCCGGGTTTACAGGCGACCCATTCGCTGTCACGGGGGGCTATTCAGGCCTCCGTAGTCTTTCCCCGAAATGCAGTGAAATGCCGGGACAGAGCTGGAAAGCCTGACTTTCTGAAACAGCAGTGAGTATGACAAGAAATGGCTGTAGGAACAGGCCCCTGAACCAACACTCTACGTTCCCTCGTAGGATGATCCTAGGGCCGAAGCCAAGCCGTACGATGTGGCGCGGATGGTGGTGGTGCCCCAGGTGACAACAGGCACCGTGCTGGACGGGGTGAACGTGGGTCGTGGCTACGGCCTGGTGGAAGGGGACGACAGGAGGCAGTTTGAGGTTGCCAGTGTCTCGGTGGATGTCTGGCACATCCTCGAATTTGACTACAGCAGGCTCCCCAAACAGAGCATCGGGCAGTTCCACGAGGGAGACGCCTATGTAGTCAAGTGGAAGTACATGGTGAGCACCGCAGGTCAGTGAGCACTTCCGTTTTCTTCACGCAGACGCGGGCCCGGGAGGGAGCACTTCTTAGAGCCCCTTCCCCGTGCGCGCTGCCTTACCGTCAGCCGTGGGGACAGTGCACCAATCTGGTCCTTCGCTTTGAGAACCACTTAGTCAACCTTAAAGATGGATCCTGATGAGCTAGCATTGCTAACGAATGTCATGTTTCCTTAGAGAAGTTAAGGTTTCTCTGCTTCCCCCACTCCCTCCCCTGCCCCGTCCCCAGAGGTTCTCTGGGAAAGTGATGATTTGCCTCCAAATGATATTTGCCATGTGGCTGTCTACTGCTTAAATGAAAGTCTTAAGTGAAGCCTATCTGGATGACTTAGAACTGCAACCAAATGGTGTGGTAACGCACAAAAGATTTATGAAAAATAAAAGAAGCTATTTCCTCTGAGGCTGGGAGCATTAACATGCTCTGTGGATCGGGTAGAATAAATACATAGTCAAACTGCTCGTGGTTCCTGTCGGTGAAATACTCAAGCAAAACACTCAGTTGTGTGCTTTGCACGAGAGGTAGTGAGGGAGGAGAGCCAGTGGACTTTGGAGGGAGAACCCCTTTTCCCTGCCCAGAAGTAGCCAGTTCTCGGCAGCGTCCTCCCTCAGCCCCGCCATTTAGGAGTTTGTCGCAACCTTGTGATTTCGAGATTCAGCCCCCGGGAGTTTATTCACCTCTCAGACAGCCTCTTTGCTGACCAGCTGTGGCTGCCCTGGGGCCCCAGGCAGTGGAGGCCGTGGTCTGCTGATGAGAGGTCCGCAGACTCAAAACCAGTTGATTTCTTTCCTAATTGATCAAAAGTAAGTCTGTTAATCACCTGGTGGCATTTACTGAGCACCGCATCTGTCTTCTGGGCATAAGACACTTATTTTAGGGAGTAGGTAAATCCATCCGGCCCTGCCTTCAGGAAGCATATAGCATAAATGCCAATAAGGCAGGTGTGGGTGAAGCAGCGACGTCATGCTGGGTTCCCCAAGGCGGGCTCTGCTGGCGGCCAGTGAATCGGAGGCTGCACCCAGGGCTGTCGGGGGGTGCCCCCGGCCTGGAGGCCCACCCAGCCCATGGCACACGAGGCACAGCACTGGGGGCTTTGCTGCACACTGTCCTTGAGTGCCTCCCCAAGGCGCCCCGGGATGTACCGTGTCGTTCTGCTGATTTCTCAGTAGGGCCCCCACCCAAAGTCACACGGGGAGTAGAGAGCAGATTAGGACACTGAAAGCCCCCTTCCCATTCATAAGGAGGCCCTAGGACTTGGAGGAAAGGCCACAGGTCCTGGGGCCATACAGCCTGCATCTTCTCTCAGGCCCTACATACCAGCTCTGCAAGGTGGGTAAAGTGAATTAGCCTGTCTGAGCTTTGGTGTTCTCACCTAGAAAACAGAGATGATACCCAGCTCACAGATTATTATAATCTTTTTTTTTATTTTATTTTATTACGTTATGTTAGTCACCACACATTACATCATTAGTTTTTGATGCAGTGTTCCATGATTCATTGTTTTCGTAAACACCCAGTGCTCCATGCAGAACGTGCCCTCTTTAATACCCACCACCAGGCTAACCCATCCTCCCACCCCCCTCCCCTCTAAAACTCTGTTTGTTTTTCAGAGTCCATCGTCTCTCATGTTTACAGTTATAATCTAATACGTATAATGTTTAGCATGTGCCTGACACAGAAATAATCGTCACTGATGTCCTAAGCAACACAAGCAAAATCACTGTGAATCACATGAATCCAAGATTTCTGAGGCCTTCAGAGACTATTCTCTTGGAGGCCCCTAAGAAATAATGATTTCGCCCAGGCAAATACTTTCTGTAAACACAATGCACATCTCACAGCCAGCTCCAGCAGCTTCTTTATGAGCTAAGTTACAACTCTGAAGAAGTCCAGCTGCAGAGCATTAAGTTAGAGCAGGGAGCATTCAGATCTCCAGACAGTCCCTCTGGGAGCAGAGAAGCATAGCCCAGTGGCATGAACAGTGGCCCCTTGGCCACTGCGGTCCAGCCCCTCATCACTCGTACCCCTCAAGGGCCGCACCTGCAAACAGGACTGAACTCGGAGCTCGGGAAGCTCTTGCGGGACAGGGTCAGCAGAAACCATTGGCTGTAGAGACAGGACAGTCATCCTCCTGGCAGACACCAGGCAGCCTGCACAGGCACACAGAGAAACTCCTTGGGGAGTGAACCGTGCACTCCAGGGAAGGGAGATGGAAGACCTTGGCAGGTTGGGTCCTGCCCCAGTAACAGAGCCAGGCAGCTCCGGAGCATGATACATGCTCGAGCTGCCGTGAGTCGGTGAGCAGTAAATGGGATTCTGCTGCAAGACCACCTGACCAGGAGCAGTTCTTTATGTTCTTCGTGTCTTCTGTTACTCCTAAACACAGCTACTGGTCACAAACTGACTCTGGAAAGTATTTTGAGGCACGAGACATCAACACTTTAAATTAGCCATCTGATCAAGTCTATAAAGGTTACAGTCTGTAATGTCTTACTGATGAAAGCTGAATCTTTACTTTGCTAAAATTAAAAATAAATGGAATAAGAATTAAGTTGTGTGTAGGATTAAATTTGGGTATACTGACGAAAATTCCAAGGAAAAATACTGAAAACTATTTTAAGAAAATATTTCTATTTTAGATGTAGATACTGAAGTCCACATGAGGATGGTAGGTGGTAAAACATTGGTTATTATTGAAACCTGAATATATACTTACACAATGTATTTAAGTGCTAACAAATTTCAAGCTATGTATCAACTTCTGTGACCTGTTTTAAGCATATCTCTCCCCAGCTGACAGGACTAATTTTCACTACTTTGAAGAGTGGGATTTGCTAATCAAAGGCAAACTTTTGTTCCTATCTAAAGTAGCAGAAATTTCAAAGGAGTGGCTTCCAAACTAATTGTGAATATACCTGACCTATTCATTGATGGTTTGTTTCTCTTTCATCTCATCCACTTAAAAATACATGAACTTGACCAGTTCAGGTCCACAAAAGACGGCACTGAAGGTTGTGCTTAGGCAAAGTGCTGTAAGAAGTATTATAATCGTTTATGGAAACTGTTTATAGAGTGCTTTGCTAAACGGCCAAAAAAATCAAATAAATATGGCCCTGGCCTCCTAAGAACTTAAAATAAATGAGCTTTCTTCTTACCTTCAAACCTCAAGACAGCTGTGATGTTGTAAATGGGATTGGAGCTGAGAAAAACTGAGTTCATATAGAACCAGAGAATCCAGTTATCATCTTTAACTTTCAATAAGTGGGGGGGAGGGGGGTTGGGGTTTATAACCGCCTGTTTTCTCCCCTTGTTGACCACCACTTTCTGGGACCACCCAGGCAGGCATCTGAGGTAACAGCTTAGTCTCCTGACCTCATTCATTCCAGAAGGGTCTGCCTGCAGGTCCTGTCCTCTTGTCATCGGTCACCTCCTCAGAGAGGCCTTCCCTCAACAGGGAATCCCATCGGTACTCACCCTGCCCCAGGTCACGTCCCCCCGTCTGTCTTTCTCAGAGCACTTGGGACTATCTGAGACTGTCTTGCTCATCTGTTGGTTGAATGAGAGCAGGGGAGCAGTCCGTCTGGCTTAGCCTGATATCTGGAAGAGTCCCCGGCACACTGTAGGTGCTCGGGGACTATCTGCTGAATGAATGAATGAATGAGCGGAGTCTGGAGTGCGGTATATACCCTAAAAGTAGCGAGGCAAGGTCTAAAATACGGCCTTTTAAAGATGGCCCCTTGACCAGTGAACTTTCCGCGCCTGCTCTTCAGTGAGATCTGTGTCCTAGGTGCTGCTAAGGTTGACCGAGTCCCTCCAACCTGGCTGCCGTCCTGGGGACAGATAGGATTGAAATCCCAGATTCGTTTATGAAAGTGATATGTCAGCAATAGATCTCTTCCATTTCTGACAGAATTTGGAAACTTCAGAGTGGTGTTTTGTTTTGTTTTGTTTTGATTAGAATCGTTTTCACAGACTAAACTTTTCCCTTTGTGCTTAAAGCTGGCCCAGCTGTTGTTCTCAATATCTTTTCTCTACCAGCTAATCTTTTGCCCAAAAAAATGGCGTGATACGGAAAATGCATTTGTGTCTTTGGGAGTCCTGCTCCGGCAGCCACCGTTTTTCTCTGTCACATACTTGGAGATCTGCCGCCTTTCTGTAGGATGACAGGTGTTTTTCTCAGGGTATCAAGAAGGCGAGATCATTTTTTCTCCAATTTGGAGGCTCGGGATCAGTTAACGGGAAGGAAGATGGTTTTTCTCCTCAGCCCCAGGCCCAAAAGCTATTTCTTCTGATTATTCCGCCCTTGTGGATTCTTTGTGTTTGCAGTGGGAAGTCGACAAAAGGGAGAGCACTCGGTACGGGTGGCTGGCAAAGAGAAGTGTGTCTACTTCTTCTGGCAAGGCCGGCAGTCAACCGTGAGCGAGAAGGGCACGTCGGCTCTGATGACGGTGGAGCTGGATGAGGAGAGGGGTGCCCAGGTAAGTCCTGGGAAGTGGCTGCCCCAGGGGAGGAGAGACTTGGCCTTCCTGCGGAGCTCCCGGGGTTGGGGCCGGGTCCCCTGAAGAGCCAGTCCCGTGAACAAAGACCGCATCATGCAAGGGACGCTTAGTCCTGGCTGGCTTCCCCAGATTCCAGGCTGGGCCTCCACTCCCACCTCCCCACTGCCTGGCCGGGAGTCATGTGCTCTTAAAGGAGATGTTGCATCTGCAAATAGTAAATCCACAAATCAAGTACCAAGTGCCAGTGAGTGGTTTGGTTTTTTTTCTTTTTTTTAAGTTTCCACTTGACTAATACTCAAGGAATGGTAAATGAAACAAAGAGATGCTGTTTTCCACTTCTAAAACTGCTGGAGGTTTTATAAAGAATGGGTCTGAGGCTGGTGAGGATTTTTAGCAGGATGCTTCCAGTGGGAAGGATAGCCTGAAACAGCCATCCTGGAAAGCAGTTTGGCTCAAGAACCTTAAAAATCCTCATAAACTCTGATCACTTTTTCCACTTACGCAAATCTGTCCTAGGGAAGTATCAGAGATTAACATAAAAATTAGGATTCCCATCATCTGCATCCCTCACAGCAGCCTGAGTGCTTTTTTTCTGGATCCTGTCAGATCATGTCATTCCCTTGTTCTCCAGCACACTTGGACCGCAGTCCCAGCGTTTTCCTGGTGGTGCGCCTCCACCTTCGTGGCAGGCCACTGCACCCCCCTCCCTCTGTCTTGCACCATGGCCGGGGCGAGTCTAGGCTTCTTTGCCACTGCTCAGACCTCTTTCCCTCTACCCCAGGGCCTTTGCACAATTTCCCATTCCCACAAGTTCCTCTGTATCCACAGTAACTTTCAACCTCAAGATTCAGATAGCTGTTCAAATGTCACCTATTTTATCCAAATCCCTTCCTATTCTCTGTCCTGTTACTCTGTTTTCTAGCACTTACCATTCTTACCACTACTTAAAACTACATAATCAAGTTGTCATTTTGTTTACACTTTGAATACGTTGTGTTTACTCATTTATTTTCTGTCTTTCCCTGCAAGCATGAAAGAGACAGTGCGTGCTGGTCTTCCCCACCACTGTAACCGCAGGGCCTGTTTAATGCCAATGCCAAAGCTTTGTAAACAGTACTTTTTGATGTTCGGATTATCTTTGCCTCGGGTCCCACCCTTTAGTAATTAAGAGTTGACTGTGGGGTTTTGGGGAGAACGTGATGCCATGTGCAAATATCTTCAGGACCTCGGATGAGTAGTTCACAATAGCACCAGGGAAGAGAACAGGTGAATTTTCTCCAGAACAGATCAGCACTCACTTTTAGCCTTCTAAGAGCTGCTCCTCTTCCCTAAAAAGTATATATTTCCTACTGTAGACCATATAATAATTGTAAATAATTGTTAGAGACCACTGCATTTTAATTTTTTCTTAATTGTGGGTCATTTCAACTGCCTTTTTAATTTTTGTAAAGGCCATGTTTTAATCATGCCTTCAAAATCCGCCTTAGAATTTTGAGTCTTAACCTCTCTAGTTTGAGCATTGCATTTTTTTTTTTTTTGTCAAGCCAACAGATGTAAGAACACTCCAGACCTATAAAACACTGCCACAAAATGGCACTTAATTATGCAGAACGGGCCCTGAGCTTGGTTAACACTTGGTGGGAAATGCTTCCTACCTTTTGGTGTGCCTGGACTGCCGGGCTCAGTCAACAGTTTCCTTGTTAAAGGAAAATGTCTAGCCGGAGTGAGAGTGAGGGGAGTCAACCCACACAGTTTATGAGCAGCTACCACCTGCTGGAACACAGTGGTTCACAGGCGAGGGCGAGGCCGTGGTCGGCAGGCCCACGGCACTGTGAGTGGACTCTGGGCATGGTTGCAAAAGAGACTGTTCTTTCCCCCAGAATTACTAAGTGATCAGCCGTTCTCCTTGCCGAGAGGCAGACTTTGTTGAAAATGTGTTTAAATCAGTCATGTTACATCTGTACCATGGAATGCCATTGAAATGTCAAAATTCATGTTTCAAGAGCCTTTGGTGACCGAAATACATCACGTGAAGAAAATCAGTATAAAGTAACATAAAACAGCAATCCTATTTTTGCCTGGGAAAGACATATACCTGAAAAATACTTGGAAAGGAAAGCTAGGCCCTGGAATTTTTATGGTGGTTATCTTGAGATAATAGTATTATCACTGGCTTTTGTGTGTATTTCTTGATAGTTTCCAGATTTTTTTTACCATAGACATGTATTATTTTGAAGACTCTGGAAACCCAGTACATGTTACTTATTTGAATGTGTTTACGTTGAAAGGTCCAGGTTCTGCAGGGAAAGGAGCCCCCCTGCTTTCTGCAGTGTTTCCAGGGGGGCATGGTGGTGCACTCTGGGAGACGGGAAGAGGAAGAAGAAAATGCACAAAGTAAGTCACTTTACTATTGGAATTTGGTTTTTTCCCCTCTCCTGGAAGATATTTTTATACACAAGAGGGGTTAAAGTAAATCTCCTTTTATATAGGTGTGTCTTTACCCCTGAAAGCCTCCTAACATTTGCCTTACAAATCAGCTGTATGGGGAGCTCATAGCGCCCCATCCCAACCCCAGTCCTGTGGAGTTTACTTCAGGATAGGACTTTGCATGCAGGAGGCTGACAGATGACTCCACCTTAAACTGAATCCTCTCAGTGACTCAGTCTCTTCTTAAGAGGGAAACAATTCAGTGGGTCGTCCATGATAAATTATGAGATTTTGGGGGGCCAGCATCCAAAAAAAAAAAAAAGTGCTTAGCGTCAGAGCCTCTTAAAATATGCCTGTTACAGGATTTACCTGGGTATTTATAAATTTGTAAAAATGGTCTTTCTACATCATGAACCTGCTTCTAACTTCAAAAGGATGTGCTTTCTGGGCCTGCAGTAAGCTAGCTGCTGCCCGCCCCAGGCTGGGCCGGGCTGGGTGGTGGTGCTGGCTGGTGACTGCCGATGGAGGGCAGCTCTGGGGGCAGCACCGGGCCTAACTCTGTGCCGCTGGTGCCCCCTGCAGGCGAGTGGAGGCTGTACTGTGTGCGAGGAGAAGTGCCCGTGGAAGGAAATTTGCTGGAAGTGGCCTGTCACTGTAGTAGCCTGAGGTCCAGGACTTCCATGGTTGTCCTCAACGTAAATAAAGCCCTCATTTACTTGTGGCACGGATGCAAAGCCCAAGCCCACACGAAGGAGGTTGGAAGGACTGCAGCAAATAAAATCAAAGAACAGTGAGTATTGTGCGTGGGCGCCTCTCCAGAAGGGGCTTCCCTGTGGGACACAGGCTAAGGTGGGAAGGATACCCAGTAGAAGCCCATAGAAACCCTGGTGTACTTAAAGTGACTTCAGCAGGGGGTAGTTATGAACCTCGTCAGCGCCTCTCACGTTCCAAGCGGGTGTGACACACATCTCCCGTAAAACTGCTGATGTGAGGGCTTCCCCCACTTTCTGAGGATTTACCTGCCTCCATAAAAGGTGGAGTGAGGAGCAAGGGAAATGACCCCAACAAGTGCTTTAGTTTCTTTGTAGGTACAGTTCATCTTTTGAACGAAAAGCCTGGAGTCCTTAGTCATTTAAAGAGAGCAAATTTCAAATATCTTTCAGGGGTCAGAGTTTTAGTTCTGCCAGAGCCATGGAAAGTTAGAAAGCATTGAGCTGAAGAAGAGCTGGGGAGACCACCAACCAACCGTGTCCGACTAGGAGATGCCCCCTTTTCAGAGGACGACCGTGTTTCCGCATTCTCCAAGGCAGCCACCTGCCAGGGAGTGGTCGGCCTGCCTGGGCCAGTTCTGGGGCACAGCACAGCAGGGGCTGGGGTTGGTTCCTGTCCCAGGCAGGCCCCCACACTCGGGCAGCTCCCCAAGGAAGCACCCAGTGCCGGGGCAGTACTCAAGGGCCACAGGGGGAGAGGGAAAACTGAAGCAGGAAGAGAAAGCCTGCAAGGGAGTGGGTTGTCCTGCGCAGTCACCGTCCAGAAGGGGCTGCAGCCCAAGCCCAGCAGGCCCCGTAGACAGCCAGCTAGAGCCCAGTGTCACCCCAGCTTTCGGGGGATGCCTAGTGCTTCCTCAGGCTGAGACCCCCGGAGGACGGTGGTAATGTCTGAACAGTAAAAGTGGAAAGTTTCCAGGGCCACAATATGCCACCGAAGTATCATTTGGTCCAATCCGTCCTCTGGGCCCCAGGGCAGTGCGGTGGGGACAGAGTTCCCTCGGGACCGTTTGCATAGCCAGCGCTAAGGAGAGTGCGCAGGCCAGGGCCCTTGCCACGGGCAGCCAGCTGGGAAGCCAAGCGTCTCCTCTCCAGACCCTGTTCTGTGTGCTAGGGAGCGGGGAGGAGTGATAACTGACCTTCACTGAGCTAGTCAAAGGCATCCCTGGTCCATCAGCTTTTCCCCTTGGACCACTGAGAAAAAACAATGAACTCATTCACTCATTCACTCAGCAGGTATGATTGAGCACGTACTTGGTGCCAAGCCCAGATTTAGGGACCAGGGACTTGGCTAGTGAACAAACCCAAGTCTCCGTCCCCGTGAAGCTTATGTTCTAGCAGGAGAGGACAAGGAATAGTAAGTATGTATGTTATATATAAAAATGTATATCACTTTCATTACATTTTATATGTAATCGTACATTCTTCTCTAAGGGCCAAGCCAGTCCCTCTCATTGCCCCGCCCCCCCCCACACACACACTCATAAACCACAGAGCACGTTTTCATTCATTAGTGAGAACTGTTTTAGTTAGAAAGTAGAAGAGAGATGGTGAACCGGTCCGTAGATTTAGTCTTGAATAATTTTGTACTGCCAACATGTCCGGGGCTTATGAAAAAAAAACCTACTGGATTTTCTCCGTGCAGATGTCCCCTGGAAGCAGGACTGCATAGTAGCAGCAAAGTGACAATACACGAGTGTGACGAAGGATCCGAGCCCCTGGGCTTCTGGGACGCTTTAGGAAGGAGAGATAGGAAAGCCTACGACTGCATGCTTCAAGGTAATAGAACATTCCGTAGCCTTCCATCACTACTTTAGTCGATACATATTTATTGAGCCTGTATTGTGTACAACACCCAATGAATCAGACTGAGGCTAGGTCCTCACAGGCCTACAACCCAATAAGGATGCTAAATAATATGCAAGACGGGTATAAGGCCAAATAAAACTTTAGTGTGTCATAAAAGAGGTACAAATGAAGGGGGCTGAGAGTTAAAAAGAAAAAGATGAGTTCCACCAGGAAAATCATGCGTGGCCCCACAGAAGACAGGGCATTTAAACAGAGCCTTGAAGGTAAGCATGACTTGAAGAGAGGGAAGACGAAAATTCCAGGAAACCAGATGAGCAGTGACACACTGTGATCCTATGGAACAGGATGCTTTCGGTTTAGCCAGCTTCCTGGGTGCAGGGACACAATGGAGTTCAGATTAGAGAGTAAGTCAGTTTTGTATTTAAATACACAAAATACAGATCAACTCCAATACAGATGAACATAAGGAGAGCTAACAAGTATTAAGCAGTTCAGGATGAGCCAGGCACCACCTAAGCACCTGATACACATCAACCCAGCACTCACAACCTAATGCCACCAGGTTTCTACCGATGAGGAAACTGAGGCACGGGGAAGTTCATCAACCTGCCCAGGGTTGAACCACAGTGAGATGTACTCAGAACCACCACTCCATTCAACCACCTCTCAATTTTCATGAACTTTGATTTTTATTTATTTATTTTTTTGAGAGCGCCTTTGCACGCACACACGCAACAGGGGTTAGGAGGGGGGAGGAGCAGAGGGAGAGGGAGAGAGAATCTTAAGCAGGGGCTCCATCTCATGATCCTGAGATCATAACCTGAGCTGAAATCAAGAGTTGGATACTTATATGGCTGAGCCACCCAGGCGCCCCTATATGGTTTTTCTTAATAATGCATGTTGATGATGGAAAATGTTTGAAAGCAGAGAGCAGTTGAAAAAGAAACTAAGTCCCTTATAATCATCTCTCTCAAAGGTAACTAGAGTTGACATTTCTCTATGTGATCCATACACATCTATATTTAAGAAAATTTTGGATTGCAGTATACAGTTTTGTAACCTGATTTTTCCCTTTATTATGAACAGTTTCTCAAGTTGTTCATATTTAGACTTTTGTGGCTGCAGGGTATTCCATGAAGATGCTATATGCCATTTTCTACTTAACCTGTCTTTTTTAGTTTAATTTTAGTTTAGAGAGCTGTTTCCAATTTTTCCTCATTATACAATAGAATTGTGGATAAATTTAAAATAAGTATCTGCATTTATTTCTAGTTAAAGTCCTAGTACAGAACTGCTATGGTAAAGGTAGAAAAGATTTAGAGTACATATCAACAAGGGTGCCCCAGGACATTGGCACCAAGTTTCATTCTCACCAGCAATATACATCCGAGAGTGTACATTTTCAGCACAGAGACTCGGTAGGTTACCTTTTCCTCTTGGCCAAAATTAGTGGGGCAAACTGATATCTAAGCACTGTTCTAACTTAATGTTTTAAATTGGAAGTACTGTTAAACACGATGTATTTTTTTTTTTTTTAGTCGTTTGTATTTCTACTTTGGTGAATGTTTTATTTTTGCCTTTTACACATTTTCACTGAGATATTTATCTTTATTATATTTCTTTATATACTAAAGATATTAACAAGTTTCCATATTTCTCATTGTGTCACTTGCCTTTTCACTTTGGGGTTTTTCTGCAGTGAAATTTTTCATTTTTATACTGTCAACACATAAATCCATTCTCCTTTCATTACTTATTTTATAATTATGATTAAAAAGGCCTTCCCCACCTCCAAGTTCAGATAAATCTTACCCATCTTCACACTCATTTTGGATTATTTTATGTTTTACCTTAATTCTCTAATCTATCTGGGATGTACTTTGGTGCCCGTTTTGTCTTCAGCTTTGTTCTCTTTTCTTTCCAAGATCCTGGAAATTTTAACTTCACACCCCGCCTGTTCATCCTCAGCAGTTCCTCCGGGGATTTCTCAGCCACGGAATTCATGTACCCCGCCCGAGACCCCTCTGTGGTCAATTCCATGCCCTTCCTGCAGGAAGATCTTTATAGTGCACCGCAGCCAGGTACGGCCGGCGGAAGGGGGCGTCGGGCCGGGCCGCAGAAGATACACCCTCCAAAGAGCCCTTTTATTTGACGTTCATATTTAGGAAACAGTTTTTATTTGCCCAGTACACTGGCAAGTAACTCTCTTATGTTACCTAATTTCATCCTCACACCTACTCCAAAAGGAAGGGGACATCAACCATATGTTACAGTCTAAGAAACTGAGGCCCAGTGACTTAACTCACCCAAATATGTCCGTTAAGAATAGGCTGAGCACAGTTATGTCAGGCCTGGAACCTCTGCTGTTCTCGCAGCCTCCCCTCAGTCTTGTTGCTTCATGGTCCACAGTTGGCTGCCCCTGCTCCTGCCATCATGTTTTCCTTCAAGACAGGAAGAAGAGGTAGGGACAGGGACGGCCATGTCTCTCCCTTTTATCAGATGAAGCAAAAGCTCTCCCAGAAGCCCCCGCTGACTTCTGATTACATCCCATTGGCCAGAGCTCTGTCACATGACCACCTCTGCTGCAAGGGAGCCTGGGAAAGCAAGGGGCCAGGGAGCAAGGGGGTGGGAGCATCTGCTGAGTCAGCCAGAGAATGGTGTCTGCTGAGCCAAGGCCGGAGGGCAGGGCTGAGGCTCCCACCCATGTCTTCTGATCCCAAGGTCAGGGCTATTTCCACTCGACCTCCACCTCCAGACAGAACCTCTGTGCTCTTGTTCCGGTTGGGACAGTCAGTCACCAGAGACTGGGCTGCATGGACCCTCCTGCCCTCCTGCAGTCGAGTCTGAGCCCTTGCGCCTTCTCCCCTCAGCCAGGAATCTCGCAGGACCCTGGCCGCCTAGGTCCCCACCTTAAAAGCTCATCTGGTGCCCTTGCCACTGTGGGAAGTATTAGCAACTTCCTTAAGAGTGGCTGCTGCCCGCCCCCCCTTCCTGCTATGGCCCAGGATAGGTTCTTATCAACCTCCACTGGGCTTTCCAGGTGTGTGCACAGCATCCCTGAAATGCGTGTTAGGAAAGGACTCAGGGCAGGAGGACCTAGTAAGTGTGAGAGCCCCTTAGCCACATGGAGTAAGAGTCAGGGTGACCGTTGGATGAGAAGAAGAGGGCAGGAAGCGGTGGAACACATCTACTTCTTAAAGCTTGTTTTTCTCGCAAAGAACCCTGAACTGAGTCGCCTACGAAGCAGTCCCACATGGGGCATGAACATCAGTGACCTGTAGGGCAAGGGAGATGCACTCTCCAGTGTTTAATCCGCTCTTGGGAGATACACGGTGCTCACAAGCCCTGGAGTGGCACATGCACTATCCCTCCACCCAGCTCGCTGCAGTTCCCAGAAGGGCCACCAGCAGGCCTGCGCTGAGGAGGGGCCGGGGGAGACAGGAGGTGGGGAGAGGGAAGGGAAGAGGCCGGCGTCACAGATACCACCCCTCTCTGCCCAGAGGCTTTTTCTGATTGAATGTTCAGAGGGCTGAGGCATCATGGACACCCTCCCCTGGCCCCTGCCAAGGGGATTCTGCCCGGCCCCCGCCCCCAACAAAAGCAACAGGGCGGGAAGGCCTCCTGTAGGTTTGGGGAAGAGTGAGCTGGTAGCATCCACGGAGGACCCCTGATCGTCTGGTCTGTCCTTGCCCTCACAGCTCTTTTCCTTGTTGACAATCACCATGAGGTGTACCTCTGGCAAGGCTGGTGGCCCATCGAGAACAAGATCACCGGTTCGGCCCGCATTCGCTGGGCCTCCGACCGGAAGAGCGCCATGGAGACCGTGCTCCAGTATTGCAAAGGTGAGGGCCACGGCCACAAGCTTCGCCCACCGGGTGGGGGCCGCAGAGCGGCCTTCCTCTTCCTGCGTGGGCCAGCCAGCCTTGATAAAGCCTGCCAGACAGTGATGAAGCCAAGCTTTTCCCCCCCCTTTAATTTTTTAAGGCTTCTTAATTTTGAGATTAGTGTGTTCTTGGCTATCAGCATGAATGAGAATTCATTTTTCTCTTTTATATAACTGGGCCACCTAAGTCTCTACCCTCAAGGTCAAAGACTATATTGTGGAATACCCTGGACTGATGAAAACCCTTTTGCACTGGGAATGAGTCATGCTGGGGACACGCGGGCCTCCACCCACACGTAGTGCCACACTGTCTGAGAGTGGGAAGCTCCCCCACACGGCCTGGAGAGCCGATGGCAACCTTTTTATTATTATTATTTTTAGCGTTATATATATAAAAAAATACCTATAGTGAACTCATGGCTTTTTACTATACTGTCAACCTAAAATTTATAGTATTCTTTATAAAGTGAAAATGCCATTAATTTCTTAATTTTTAAGGTTTCATGGATTAGTTTCACTGAGTTTGTATAGTCGATTTTCTCTTGAAAAGCTCATCAGTGATAAGTAACAAATTTCCACCAAATGTTTAAGTTAGAGTGGCTTATAAAATGCTGTCATTAGCTGTTTAACTGACACTGAACCTAATGCTGCATTAGGAAGGTATTCTCCACACGTGAGCACAAGAGAAAATGTCTTACCCCGAAGCCACGGAGAGAGACTTTCTCCCATTCAGAGTTCTAGAAGCATTTTGTCAGACTCAGGTCAATTCCATGCAGTTTTATGCATTGTTATATCATAAAATTGACATTTTGTATAAACATCATCCATGTGTTGTTATGAACTACTCAAAACTTGCATTTTAACCATAAGGGATCCAAACAAGAAAAGATATCAAGGGAAATCAGAGAAAGCCCAGTTCTTCAGACCCAACCCCTGGGTGTACTGACATCGCCTTCTGTGTACCTACAGGGAAAAATATCAAGAGGCCTCCCCCCAAGTCTTACCTTATCCACGCTGGTCTGGAGCCCCTGACGTTCACCAACATGTTCCCCAGCTGGGAGCACAGAGAGGACATCGCTGAAATCACAGAAATGGTGAGCGCGCTTTCTCTCCCTGTGAAGATAGCTCCCCGCCTTTCAGATTGTGCATTGACTTTCCCTTGGGGAGAGGCATCCAACTGCATTTTCAAAGTGAGAAAACGTTTTTTTCTTTTACAACACGTTAACAAGTCTATGTAGAATTAGCTCAGCAATAGAAGAAATCATCTGAACTCTTTTGGTTAATTTTCTACACCTGGTGCTCAAGTTAAACGAACTTAAAAGCAAAGGTGAACTTAATTACTCTGAAGAATTTACATAAATAAAAGCTGCCATCTCTTCCTTCTGTTAGCTAAAAATCTATTGCTTCTCAAGGGCCATGTAAGGCACAACAAAATCCTCTTGTTTCAGACATTAACCTCGTGTTAGAGGGCACACAGAATAAACCTGTGATGGATTAACCTGCTCAGATTACTGGGTGAATGAATGTGTCCCTCCTGATAAGCAGTGTTAATAGCTCATTAATAGTTTTTTATGAGACCAGCTGGTGTCAGCACAGGAAGCATTTGTCATAACCTTTATTTACTAAAACATACTATTAACCAGAACGTTATAATTACCAACCACATAAAAAAAAAAAAAGCTTAGTACAGCTATGTCAATTTTTTTAAGTTACGAGTTTTTGACATTGCTAGCAGTAGCAATTCCAAGGGGTTTTTTTTTCGTTTTGTTTTGTTTTGTTGTTCCAGGGGAGAGGACGTGGGTATTTTACGGGAGGTCTGAACAGGTGTAAAGAAAAAGAGTTCACCGCTGCTTAACAATGGATGTTCAGTGCACTGCTGAGCCTCACCTCTCTCTGGAACCGGGTGGACTCGGTCCACACGGGGAGGAGCCCGCCAGTCATAGCAGAGGGCTCCGTTTACCATAGACGTGCAAGCCACACTAGGCACGGTGTGGACCATCACCGCCTCCTGCAGTCTGAGCTGGAGGCTGTCACTGCCCTGGTGCCCTGCTTCCGCTGTAGGTCCCGGGGCGGCAGTGGGCTTGGAGCATCGTGTGCACGGACTTCGGGCTTCCTACACCAGCCTGTAGTAGCAACACAATCGCCAGGTGCTTGCTGGGCACCAGGCACGGCTCCAAGCGCTTGGCGTGTATTTTCTCCTTTATTTTCACAGTAGTCTCTTAAGATGCGTCTTCGTGTTATCCGCGTTTTTCTAGGGAAGGAGCGGAGGCACAGAGACCTGCCATAGCTTGTCCCGGGTCTCGGGTGCAGGCCTGCTCCAGAACCCACTCTGTGAGCGCTAGTCTGTACCATCACTGATGAATTTGGCAACACCGTTAGTTGTTCATTCCCGCCACTCAAAAGGAGGGCAGCCAATCTGGGATTCCGGGTTTAACAGAGGAAGATCATTTACCTGGAATAACCTGTTCAGATTAAATGCACAGTGGTTTTTTAAAAAAATCTAGATTCAACAGCATCTTCTAGACGCATTTTCTTACCTTTCTCTATTCCAGATTAAGAAATGGGGCTGATAAGAAAGGATGTGATTTCTCTTAAGGTTATTTTTAAATGCTTTTAAACAAATTCCATTATTTGAACGCTTCCAGTGTTTAGAGTTCAAATTTAATAATCGTATGCCATAATTCACTCACGTGATGGTCCCTAAACATTTTTCTGAGGCAGCCCCAAGCCAGGATTTATTTGGTGGGGTGGGAAGACATGTAAAAGTCAGAACTGTGAGGCTTTGGGCAATTCCTTTCCATTTCAGAGCCTGCTTCTGCCTGAGCGAGCCTCTCCAGCTGGGGCGCAGAGTGGACAGTAGGGCTGTGTTTGCGCCCGTGCGCGGTAAAGCATTTGTGCAGATGCAGGGCATGAAGTTCTCTCTGCTCCCTCCTCTTCTCTAGGATACGGAAGTTTCCAACCAGATCACCCTTGTGGAAGATGTCTTAGCCAAGCTCTGTAAAACCATTTACCCACTGGCCGATCTGCTAGCCAGGCCACTGCCCGAGGGAGTTGATCCTCTGAAGCTTGAGCTTTATCTCACTGATGAAGACTTTGAGGTAAGCACGTCTTCATGTGCAATAGCGTTTAAGCAAGACGCTTGGCTGGGATGGGGGTCCTTGTACTCACCCGCGCTGGGCGTTTCTCCCGATTTTGCAGTTTGCACTAGACATGACGAGGGACGAATACAATGCACTGCCCGCCTGGAAGCAGGTGAACCTGAAGAAAGCAAAAGGTCTATTCTGAGCGGGAGAGATGCTGGAGGAACCTCTGTCGTCACTTTCAATACCATTGGACCAGGGAAATGGGTATTTTTTTTTTTTTTTGGACTGGTATTTAAAAAAAAAAAAAAAAGATTTTTTAATCAGTTTTCCAAAACCTAAAGTTATTAGCTCTACTGCTTGTCCCAGATTTGTGTATTTTGTAAATGTTTAAGCGGACCCTTTGGAAACTCTCTTTCCACGATTCAGCAGGTAATGTCAATAAAGGCGTCCCTACGTGCACGTGTGCGGCAACTCCCGCACTTGCCCACTTTTTTGGAAGCAATTCTCTTTATAAAGTGTTATTTTGATAGTTTGTGGGTTCTAAAATATATATATTTATATAAACACCATATAAGTCAAATATGTATTTAACAAAGCAATATGTATTCATTCACTCTTAAGATTGTTTTTCTTTTGGTGTCAAAATAATACTGAACGGTAGATGGAATTGCTTCTGTGAAATTAGCTCTGGCACCCCTGCGTATCTTCACACACGTTCAGAAACGTCTCCTTCAGCATTAAGTCTGACTTGTTCTGAGTGCTGCTTCCGGTGCTAAAACGAACAAATGGATTTGTACTTCCTGGCATGGGCTCTGAAGAATCTGTGCGCATCCACCTTTCTACCTTAATATCGCCCCAAAATGTATAGTGCCTTGTTTTTATGTACAGTTTATATACAGAAAAGTTTGCTCTGCATTTTTTTTTTTGATGGTTTGGAACATTATCTCCAATTTTACTCTAAAATAGTAGAAATTTTAAAAAAATCTCAAGTTTCTAATACCTGTTGTAAACACAAAACATGTCATTTTGCGACACAGGACTCCAAAATAAAAGCTTCGAGAATAAACACAATAATTAATTGTTTCACATTGGATCCCAAGCATGTTCCTTTCCGAAAAATGTGGGTGTTTTTGTAAATGTTAACCTAATATCAGTATTTTGCCATTTAATATTAACTGCTATAACTTTTATTTTAGTTTAGGGCAAGATTTTATAATAGGGTCATATAACTGAACAGACTTTGGACCCATAACATTCGTTCTGAGTACTATATTGAAGACGTGTTTTTGCAAATCATCACTCAACAGAAGCTTTTTACCCTAAAACTATTTCTGCATTTCACATTTAGGATCTCAGTGTCTTTTTAAGAATATTGAATATATAAGCATTTAGAAAACCTAAAAATGAGAAAACTCCTCACAGGCTCCTATATTCATAAAATCCCACATCCGGGGTTTTGAATTCCATAGACCTGCTGTGAGTCGTCACTGCATCTGTCCCACCCACCCACCCCCGTTTTGGTCTCAGTTTACCACATCAGATAAGAGCACATTGGCTTTAGACATTATCACTTAATGTTGCTTGTGTGCCCCAAGCCTGGGCCTGCACCTGTCAGCGGCCTGTCAGCCACTCCTGGGCCCAGCGCTCTGCGACTCTGGGATATTGGGCAGTCACTGAACTTTACCACCTCGATTGCCTCAGTTTGAAAGAAAAGGAGTCAATACTAGCTATCCTGCCCACATCCTAGGATTGATTCTCGGTGAGGATCAAGCAGAAGCTCTTTGGATATTGTCAAGTGCTGATATCTGCTGGTGTTGATGTTACCGTTACAGTAGCTGAAATAGGAAAGTATTGGTGTTGAAGTAAAGCAGTGCAGTCCCGCACCTCGGAATTACAGATTAAACCAGAACGAGTAGAACCTGCCAAAGAAATAAATGTAGAGGGGAAAGGAGACAGGGGCATTCAGAGCACGTGCCCATAGGCAGAATGCAGAGGAACGGAGGGGCTCAGAGCCCGTAGGGCAACCAGGGGAGTGTCCAAAGGATGGAGGCGGGGCAGCCAACAGTTCAAAGTCACCCAGATCCCTGCCTACACAGATAGGAGCTTGGGTTGTGGGAAGAGCTTCCGTGGACAGCTTGCTGAGGCAGCAGCTAAGATTGGTGTCATCGGAGTGTAGATAAGGTGCCGGCAGTCGGCTTCCTGCCTCTTCTCTGTAAAGCGGGTGCCCATGTCCTATATCTACCGACTTCCTGTTTGCCTCTTGTCCTCCGAGTCATTTCCTGCATCTCTTTCCTGCTTACAGACCTGGATCCTCTCTTCCTTGGTTTTTCTGATGCTTTTCCCTTCCCAGCTGCAACTTTTGAACTTTGCACACGGGGGAAAGGACCCAGCCTAAAACCTAGAATTGCTGAGTCTGAGCCACTCAGCCAGTTAGTTTGCGCCAGTGTTCCAGGCCTTTCTCCACAGCCGCTGCAAAAGCAAACCACCCTGGGGAAACGGGCATTACACCCAGCAGAGTCACGTAGCTGCCTTAATTTGCTGCTTTTGAACCACAGGACTTCAGAAGAGAGGAAGGCCATTTGGGTTGGGATTGAAGTCAGAGCTGCCGTGGGACTCATGGCATGCCACACACGTTCGGAGGCAATGAGGGGCCTGTGTGAATACCATCAGTTTCCAGAGGAGAGAAGCCATTGTCCCTGCTCCTCTTGGGCCGTGCACAGGTCAGGGTCAGGGAAATCTGGCTCAGGGACCCACCCACGTCTTTCCCTCCTTATTTTAAAACTTTGGCCCCACTTACAGAGCTCCCGTTTTGCTAAAAGAAGACGCATTCCAGAAACAGCTTGAAAATCCGCATCCATATTGGTCTCTACTTTTGTCATTTTCCTTTTTTTCTGATTATAAAAGTAACACTTTATCCACACGGAGACTTGCACACGAATGTTCATAGCAGCACTATTCATAATAGCACAAACCCGCAAACGACCCACTTGTCCACTGACTAGAAATGGATAAGCAAAATGCTGTGCATCCGTACAATGGAACACTTCCAACAATGTGGAGAGCAAACTGCTGATACACACTATCACGTGGGTAAACCTCCAAAACATCATCACGCCAAAGAAGCCGGTACAAAAGGCCACCTGTATATGAAATTTCAGAAAATCCATTCAGAAAGGAGATCTCTGATGGCTGGGGATGGAGATGAGAGTGAAGGGTGCCTTCACTCAGGAACTTTTGGGGGTGATGGAAATTGTTCTCAAACTGACTGTGGCGATGGTCACACAACTCTATAAAAGTCCTAAGACTTTTCGTATACCTTACATAGGCGGGTTTCATGCCATATATAGCTCGAGAAAGCTGTTTTAAAAAATACTAACACTGGATTTATGTGAAAAATGCCAACACAATAATATGATACAAATAACAGGAAGCAAACATAATACATAATTTCAGAATTGAAAATCATGATGTTCCCACTGCTAAATAATTACTCATGCCACTTGTTAAGGCAGTAAGACCGATTATTCGGGACTCTCACAATAGAGATAGCAGTGATAAGGTATAGGGCAGAGAGACTGGGCTCAACTCCAAATACAAGGAAGAGTGGGAATTTCTAGCCAAAGTCAGTGGAGAGAAAATTACTACGAGGACACATGAGGGGAAGAGGGAGTCCTGGCTACACTGACCTAACAGGATTCTTGCTGAGGCCAGGCCAGGGTGACCAGACATCACCAGGGGATGGTGCAGAATGACAAACCCCATCAGACACCGGGGCTGATGGGGTAACGAGAGGGTAGGGGATCTGACTAAACCCACCTGACAGGATTTGTGCTAAAATTGTGCTCTTGGGGGACATGCCCAGGGACAGGGCCTAGTTGGGCTCAGAGAAGCCTGACTAAAGTTTGGTCAAGGAGAGTGTCTTCGTCACCACTTCTCAAATCCAAGAACTTCAATAATTTGGTTTATATTCTTCTAGATTTTTCTTTGCATCTATTAACAGAGATGTATGCTCATACTTTTTTTTTTAAGAAAAAAGTTGCATTTGTTCTTCGCCATCATAATTTTCTGTTAACAATAGGGCTCCCACGCTGCCTCTTCGATATTTATCTGAGCGTGTGTGAGTCTGAGGCCACCTGGGCCACAGTGTAAAGGTCTAAGCAGTTGTGGGGGCCCAGCCCCACCAGTTCTCCACCCCACAAGCATTCCCCCATTCCTTGCCGAGGGTGGGCAGCATAAAACTAGGTCCCAGAGAAAGGATCTAGAGATTTGTTTTCACGGGACTTCCTTGATCTCCAGTCTAGAGTAAGGGCCAGAAGTGTCCAAACAGGCCTCTGTACAAAGCCTTGCTGAACAACAATGACTAGTGAGTGACTAGGAAGGGTCAAGCGGACAGTAGCAAATCACAGATCAAGGTAATGATTCAAAAGCAAATAATGGAAAATTGAATATATTGGTATGGCATTTGACCCAAAGAAAAATCCCTACCTTACTTCTAAAGGATAAATGCATTGCAAATCCTTGCTTTCTGCACCAGAGAAAGAAGGTCGGGCTGTTTCAGACTATGCAATTGAGGTACCCCAAGAGTTGGATCAGAAAGATGGATTTGCAAGGGGAGAACATTGGAGGCTTTCAGTTCCCATAAGCACCACCACGGATGGGCTGTCCAGTGGGGAGCTTGTGTGGAAATACCCACTCCCCCCAGGCTCACCATTCAAATGCACAGTGCATGTTGATCCTTAAGGATTAGCAGGGAAGACAGATGAACAGACCAGCATCCCTCTTTTCTAATAAAGAACTGGTCCACTACTGAGCTTTTCCATCATGCTGAGATTGCAAAAAAAAAAAAAGGCTACAGGAGCAGAAGTGAATGCAAGCTGAAGTACAGGAAGGCGGTGTCCACGACATCTCAGCCCCAACATGCCTTCTCAGCCTCGCCGCAGTTGTGGGAAATGTTTCTGACACCAAATGCCGCAGAGCTCTGCAAGTCTCTTAAGGGACAGATTGGAACTGACTTGTATTATCTGGAAATTGACATAAATTGCCTGTTATTAAATCTCACTGAATTGTTAAGCCCAACCTTGCCATCAGAACACCATTTTAGCATCCACTCTGAAATGGTTCTAACTGGATGGGTTATCTCTGTAAAGGTAAAGATATCGAACCACCACTGAACAAGGAGGCTTATGCCTATGTGGAAGCAAAGAAAAAGAAAAGGGGACAGGAATGACAGACAAGCCTAACTGGTACTTTTTGATTAACGGTTTCTCCATTAAAAAAAAAAAAAAAAAAGCAAGCAACTAAACAATGCATTTGGGACCTGTTAGACATGGTTGGTGTCCGAGCCCATCCTCGGAGGAGATTATAAAACAGACGCCCTGCCTCACGTCCTGCTGCCTTCCCTTGCCACCTCCATCCCCACCTGCTGTGGCTCCTTCCCCTCCTGATGCTTGTGCTTCCTGCAGGAGGCCATTCTGGTTTTTGAATCAGGAATCACAAAGACTGAGCATGGAGCATCATTTGCCAATGATGACATTTCGGGCCCCCAGGGGGAAGCATTGTTTCTTGTTGTTGGCAAGGGTCTTCCCCCACAGGTCGGAGCTGACTGCAGGGGCAGCCACATCATCTGCTGAAGTGTGTTGCTAGGATCACACGTTGTCTACTCCAGACCTGTCATTATTGGCAGCAGTCCATATTCACTCAGGAGCACTGTTTACTGCTCATTCACTCAAGTTATTTATGGAGTGTGCACTGTGTGAGGCTCAACAGAGAATATAAATATGAGCTATATCAAGGCTCAGATCCCACAAGGAGCCTTCCAGAGAAGGAGAGAATGATGACAACTCACCAAAAAGTATCAATAATAATGCAGTGGGAGTCTGGTAGGGGTTGGACTGTGCACCCCTCCCCCCTCAAAAGAGAGCTATGCGGAGTCCTAACTCCCAGTACCTCAGAAGGTGACCTTCTTGGGAGATAGTCTATAAGTAATTAAGTTAAATGAGATCATTACAGTGGGCCCTAAGCCAATATGACTAGCATCCTTATATGAAGAGGAAATTTGGACACAGAGGTAGGGGGAAGACAGCCACCCACAAGCCAAGGAGAGTGGCCTCAGAAGAAACCCAGCCAAGGTGCTGACACCTTGATTTCAGACTCCTAGCATCCCGAACTGTGAGACACTAAGTTTCTGTTGTTCAAGCTACCCAGCCTGTGGCGCTCTGTCACAGCCACCCTAGGGAACTAATACAGAGTGCACACTGGATCTTCCCGTTGGAGGGAAAGGGAGGGGAGGAATCAGGGTAGCTTCATGGAGGAAGTCCCATGAGGTAGGCCTGGAAGGGCAGGTGGGATTTCTCACTGCAGTTGGGCATCAACCCATCAGGCAGCAGCTCCAAAGGGGAAGATTTGGAAAGGGAGAGAGAGAGAGAGGGAGGGCCCACAAGTCTCTCCACTATGGCATGGGCAGGATGGGGGAGTAACAGGGCCTCACAGCTAAAGTGACAGGCAGTGAAGGGAGAAGGAAGTTGGAAATGAACAGGCTGATTGACCCAGGGCAAAGGACATGGTCAGGTGTGAGGATGATCCGGCCACACCACCTGGGACTGACTCCTCTTGTCTCTAGGAGGCATTAGGCCAAGTGGGCAGCATCCCTTTCTTGCAGTGACCTGGTGTGTTCGGTTCCAGGGCTCGTTGGTCTCTCCTTACCGTCTTGTCTTATACCATGTGCTAGCACTTCTATCTTGTACCTTTATATTCACATAATTAAAGGTGCTGACTCTGTTAAACCCCCTTCCAGTCTAGTCTTCTTATAAAGATATTTCTGAAATCTCTGGCAGACAACATAGAATGTGGGAAATGCTGGCCTAGGGTTTTTACCCAATGGTGACATCTTTTAGATATCCTATGACCATGAAGTAGCTCTGCCAACTGTTGCTTAATCTTAGAAGCTACTTAAGAAGACAAGAAATTATTCGGGTTGCATTGAAGATATTTAAGTTTCTGAATCTTGCACTTATATTGCCATTTTAAGTGTTAAATGTAAATGCTTTTTAAATGTTGGTCCTTTTTATTTTTTGGCTTTGAGATCCATCAATTTTTATTCCATTAAAACAAACTCTTTATCAAAGTATGCATGACTTCTAGGCACCTTACAACAATCATGAAATTGCTACTAGAAAACCAACTATATAATTTTTAGAGCAACATTAAAATATAGCAACACTTTCCTTGAAAAGCCCTGGCAGACTGATTGGGCATATTGTAGATAAAAGACTAAGGCATGGAAAATTTCAGGGGTTCAGCAGAGATGGAAGACCTAGTCATAGTAGATAGAGTGCAAGACTAGACCCACATGAGGTTGTCTGTGTCTTTGCTGAGTAATCAAGACCAAAGCCCATTATCGTCTCTTCCATTAGTAGGCACTTGGGAAAGTAATCACATGCTGAGTCTTGTACCAGGTGATTTCATCCGAGCCTGGGAAGCAGCCCCGTGAGGGGCTCGTTACCCCCACGGTACAGAAGAGTAACTTGGAAGCCAAGTTCCGGCCCATCGTCCTGTTGCTGGGAAATGGTAGAGGTTGGATTTGACTCTGCCTCTGCCACCGCACCGTGCTGCTTCCGCACAACCAGAGGAGAGCAGCTACCCGTCCTCATAATCTCTGACCCACGGCTGGACTCGAGGATCACAAAGTGCCTCAGTTTGCCCACCTGTTCCCGACTCCCCATTGCCACTTCCGTTGAAAGCTAGGATAGCTGGAGGGGCTGCAGGCGCCACAAACGCAACAACATAGGGAGGGCGGACCAGTCTCATGGCAAGAGGAACGCAGGCTCTGGAGCCTCTCCGACGGCAACCCCAGCCCTGCCACTTCAGCCATTGAGTTTGAACAAGTTCCTTAACCTCCCTGCACCTCCGCTTCGGTCACCCCGGTAAAATGGGCTTGATGAACCCAGTCCCTGCCCTTTATGAGGCTGCACGGCATAAGAGAATGTGTGCCAACATCATCCTGCCACAGGAGGCTTCAATGACAGAGGGAAGCTGCCACATTGAAAGCCTTTGCCCGCGCCAGCCAGACCACCCGCTGGGAAGAGTTCACTAGAGAAGACGGGGAACCCACTGGTGCTTGCGCAACCTCAGCATTCAGGTTCCCGGGGCCTGGGGCCAGGACTCCCCCAGCAGGAACTGGGGGACCATCGCCTGCATAGGAACTCCGCTGATGACACGGCATTATGCTTCTCAGCCCATGTCCAACACTGCCCTCATTCACACAACTCCAAACACATCTTTGAAATTGAAAGCTGCATCGCTGACAGTTTTAATTTCACCTTCAGTAGGACCCCAGCCAGTGTCGGGGGGAGAGAAATGGGCCAGCTGTCCTCCAGGGCCATGCAGGTGGACCCTTCCGTTCCAGGTGGGACTCTGTGCAGGGCTCCAGAGCCTCAGAGAGCTGTCAGGAAACTCCCCTCTAGGAGCTGGATGGGGCAAGGGAGGCTCCAACCTCCTCGTCCCCATGGACTGAAATCTGCTGCTTCCCGAGGGGTGGGAGAGAGACTGGCGCCCTCCTGCTGCAGCAGGGTTTTCCTCACTTCGCTCTGGAGTTCTAATGGCCCCAGGCCCCCGGTCGGGGCTTCTGTGTGGACAGGCTTCCTGAGGGTGATCTCACTCAGTGACTCTTCTTCGATGTCCTGCAGGGCGGCAGGTGGGAAACGAGAAGCTGAATCACCTTGCACTCTAGGAGAAAGGATGGGTAGGCCTGGAAAGTAATTCAGAACTTGTTTTCATCATTCAGGAGAACAAATGGAGATTTTTTCCATCTCTGTTCACTTGGAGGGAGTAAAATATTCAGATGGAAGCCCCCGTGGAGACCCGGGTGGGAGCCATGGCAGGATGACCAGATGCCTCATGTGGGGTCCTCCTAAAGCCATGCTTCGTGACTGCGCCAACCCCAGAGCCCCATCAGCTCCTTCTTCCCCCTCCCCCCCCCCCCCCCCGCCGCCATCCCCAAATCAGCACACCGCCTCGGGGAAAACAGTGCTTACTACACAAACACAACCTTTAGACGAATCCCCCGAAACCCACCCCAGGGCGGGGCATTTCCCCTGGGCCCTCCCAGGCAGGAAGTCTTCAGCTTCCACTAGGGTAGGTAAGACCTCATTCCCAGGAGCTAGTCCATCAAGACTTCAATTTCTTAACACGAATTTTCATCCAGGGTGAGAGGTTTGCTTTTATATCCAAATGGTCCTTTGGCAGATTTATATGATTCTGAAATAACCTGTCAGCTGCATTCCTCCAGCTGAAGAAGCCACAACTTCAGAGCTGGGACGGGCCAGGGAAGGAAATGGGGAAATTACAGAGGAAAACTGGCCACGCGCCGAGAGTCCGCAGGGCTGAGGGACGAGCCGTGTCGCCAGCAGGTGGCGCTGTTGCTCACCAGCAGACGTCGAGGAGCCCCGCAGCGGCGCGGGCGCCCTTCGCCTGGGTCCTGATTTCTGCCGCAAGCGCCAGTTCTTACGCACCGGGGTGGGATAAGACCTCCCACCCCAAGACCCTAGCAGATCCTGAGGGACCCCACCTTCCCTCGCTAATGTGTTTCCAGCACAAAGAACTTGAATCCAGTGACCCGGGGAGAGGAGTTCCCATCCTGTCTCCTTTCAATCTGTCCCCGTCTGGGGCTCCAGGAATGTTTCCAGAAGCAAACCCAATGAGGCCAGCACTGCAGGAATACAAGCAGTGAGAAATCGCACAGATGAAACTTCCCAAAGACTGGGGCTTCTGTGGGCCAGGGGAGTCTTGCTCTAAGGATCCCTCCTCCTGTACACACATTTTTTTTTTTTAACTTCTTTAAATGTCTTCCCTTTGCTAGTTTTGTCATCTACAGAATGAAGGTGACACCTTTCTTAGACTCAATTAGTTAATGTCAGGAAAGCTCTCTGTAGATGAAAAGTGCTAAATTCTATTTATCAAATATTTAATTAGCCACCATTGGGGGATGATTTGTAATCATCTATTCAACCTGCATAATAACCAGAGAAAATGTCATGATCAGAAAAATGATTTTAAATACAGGTTTTCATAGATTCTATGCCTGTCAGGGCGATGAGAGAGAATTTTCAAATTAGCTCTCCATTTCCGTCCTGGCTTTCAGGGCCCTGAGGAGACAGGCTCCCTTCCCACTCGGCCTGTAGCCACCCACAGGCTTGGCCCCGAGCGCTCACTGGGCCCACCTCACTTCTGAACCCTGAGCTCCTCTCTGTATATTTGTCCCCATCTACATGCCCCCTTCTCTGTCCTACTCAGGGCACTTCCCTCACGTCCCGTCTGTCACACGCCTTCCCCTTTGTTGCCCTGGCAGGGGCTCTGTGAGGAGGAATGAGGTCACGTGGGAGACTTGGGCACTTTCAAAGGAAATACACCAAACCAGCTGAGAGCGAAGGTGACTCAGAGGCATTTCCAGTTGCTTTGAAGCAACATGGCCCAGTTTACTTTCAGATCGGGGCTCCCGGGCCACCAAGACCATACTGTTCTACTTGGGCACGCAAGCCTCTAAAAGCAAAATCCTTTTTTTTTTCTTCCACATTCATTCGTCCTGCACGTATGTACTGAGCACCTGCTGCTGGTGTAAATTCTATCCCAGATACGCACGTTAAAATGGTACCAATGACGGCCTTGGACTTACTGGCAAAACACAATTTTCAGAAGACTAAAGACAAGCCCCTCATCCAGATACATGGTGAACACAGGTGACATTCGGGGGCCTCCAGGAAGCAGCACCCAGGCAGGGTGAGGCATGCAAGACATGTATTGGGAGGAGCATTTATTGGGGACACGGAAAGAGAGGGAGCTGGAGGAGGCAGAGGGAGCCTCCCGATGGTGATGGAGGCCGGACACCTGGGGGGTGGGGGGACACATGGGAGAGCGAGCTTCAGCCTGAGAGACAGTGAGAGCTGTGGCCAGCCCGAGTGCGGCCCTAGACCTGAGGCTGCTCTTTCGGGACCTGGGCAGAAATGGCCAGGTCCCAGGACCCCCTAGGCTGGGTCACTGGCCAGACCTGATCATGGCCCGAAGGCACAGGAGCGCCTGGAAGCTGCCAGCCTCCTGAAGTCCACACCTGGCCTCCCTCCGAAGGTGGCTGAGCGGCGGGCTGAACTGCAGTCATTCAATGGTTAATGACGGAACCACCTGACAGGATGGTAACGTTGGTTCAGGAAAGGCCGGGAGAAAAAAAATAATCATATACGCAGACACGTGTCTGTTCCTGTCTATGCAGAGGAGGGAGACAGAGGGGAAAGGAGGAAGGGAATCAGATTTCAGAACGCACCCCTGTCCCACCAAGTAATAAAACTGTTAACATCGGCGATTCCTCTTTTGTACCAGTCAGAAATCATTGGCACCTCTAGTGGACAGAAATCATTTGCAATTTATCCATTTCCTACAGGCTAACATGTAACATTAGAGTCTGGGCCCTAATCAATAGCAAGCTGTGATCAGACAAGACAGCGCTGCTTCGAGAGGCCCCCGCGGCAGGCGGCCCTACTGGGTGACGGCCTGACCGCTGGTAGGCAGGAAGTCATCTTTGTGCGTCACTCTGGATAATCATTACTTCCTTGGGGAGCTTACATTCTAGTGGGAAGAAGACATAAGGAAACAGACAGCTGAAACATTACGTGACAAAGGTTACAACAAGGGCCAGCCCCCAAGAGGGGCACTGGACTCCGCCTGGGGTGTGGGGACACAGGGCTTCCCCAGAAAATGGCATGCAACTGAAGCCAGAAGGCTGATTGAGTTAACCAGGTGCTGGGGGCAGGACGGGAAGGAGGAAGCTGGAGAAATCAGCACCAAGGCTCTGAGGGGGCACCTCGGAGAATTGCAAAATCGTTTCGAAGGGCTGAGGGTGAGCAGGGGATGGTCCTGGGACTGAAGCAAGCTGTGAGGCTAGCAGGGACACAGGTACAACGATGAACTGTCTTGTGTGCCAGGCTCAGGAGTTGGGATTTTTATCCTGAATGCGATGAGAAGCCACTGAAACATTTGAAGGGTCAAGGTTACTGATAAAGACCACTCTGGCTGGAGTGTGGAAAGAGGGTTGGAGGGCACTGAAGCTTCAATGGCAGGTGGGATATGAGGATGTGTGATCTAGGTAGAAGGTGATGGTGGCCCAAACTGGGGTGACCCCAGGGGCACCTAGCAGATCCTGGGTCATACATCCTGGCTATGGGACACTTGGTGAGCTGGGCTGACCTGGCCCTCCACCATGCAGGTTACCATCGCTCTTCAGAAGGCTTCTTGGTCAGCTAAATGAAGGATGCCAGGGCGGAGAAAAAGACACCTGGACATCAAAGTCCTATTCAGCTATGGAAACAGCACCCAGGCACGCAGTCAAAACCAGTCTGACTCCCTCAATCATTCAGGAAATATTTACTGCCCACCTACTGTGTGTTGGGCCCTGTCTGGACTCCAGAGATACAGAGATGAACAAGAACCGATGCTCTCAAGGAGCTTCCACGCCAGTGGGGGGTGCACGACAAACCATAAATGCAAAGGGACTTAGTGTAATTTCACCGAGCTTCCTGCATCTGTGGTTTGCTGTGCATCATTAATTTTGGGAGGTTGTCTGCCATTATTACTTCAAATATTTGTTCTGCTCACTCTTCTCCCTTTTCTCCCTCTGGTATTCTGGTCATGAGTCTGTTACATCGTTTGTAATTGTCCCACGGTTTTTGGCTCTTCTGGATTTTTCTTTTCCCCCACTGGAGTTATATTGATAGATCTTCAAGCTCATCGATTCCTCACTCAGCTATGTTGAGTCTACTGATGCACTCCAATGTCCAGCATTTCCTCTGAGGCTTCCTTATCTCTAGGCTTACATTCCCCAGCTGTTCTTGCATGTGGGTTGACTTTTTCCAGCAGAGCCCTTCAAAATTAATCATTACTTTAAATTCCCAGAGTGATCATTCTTAACATCCGTGCTATATCTGAGCCTCATTTTGATGCTTGCTTCCTCTCTTCAGACTGTGTGCTTCCTCAGGTTTGGGTGGGGCTGGTGGTTCTTTTGTTGTTGAAAGCAGGAGATGCTCTACTGGGTAATAGGAACCACCGTCAATTGGCCTCTCATGGATTTGCGATAATCTGCCTAGGAGTTGGCACATTTGTCTAATATTTTCTGTGGCTATAGGTGCCAGAGACTCTAGTGTCCTTATGTTTGCTTTTTGTCTTTCCTCTTGATTTGGGCTTCCCTAAGTACTCCTCCTCAGAGAAGAGGAGGTTAGTATATGGTTATCCTATTACTGTTCCTATAGGGAGCCCTGTTAGCCCTGCTGGTGTAGAGAAGGGGGAGGGGGTATAGCTCAATCCAATCTTCCAATCCAATCTCGGCCCTGTGGTGGCCGCGTGCTTCTGGTCTGTGGCCTTCCTGAATGGTGAAGCAGGAAGGCCAGAGCAGGTGGGGTGGGAGGGCTACCTTTACCCAGAAGGCAGGCCTTTGTTATGGAGAATTCTCTGGTACATTCACCAGGATGGCTCTTACTTTACCCCAGCCAGAGGCAGGGACCTTTCCCAGGCCTTCCCAGGAGAACCTGGTAAGTTCCAAGAGCTAGAGTCCAGAAAGTGTGGGGTCTTCCAAAAGACTGCCATCCCCAGGAATCCGTTGCTCTCGTATCAGTCCACACTCCATCTCTAGCAATTCGTCAAAATGTTCCTACCAGTTCAAGGGGCCAGTGGTTCCTGCTCCTGTTCTTGGCTTTGACTCTGTGGATT